CTGAAGCTGAGGGGGCTTCAGAGGGAAGTATGTTCCAGGGAAGATTGAGTAGATTCAAGTTAGAGAATCTAGTACAGGGTGACCGACTACTTATACTAAGTGGAGAGGGTTAAGGGCAAGGCTACCGCACAGTAGGTAAGGGTAAAGGGGATACGAGAATGGTATAGGTGCGTTGGCAACACAGCCGGATTAGTGATGGATGGTCGAATGTGGAATGAGACCGAGAAACGTTGGAACGGACCAACGGTAAGAATACAACGTGCGGGAATCCGCAGTCAGGGGAAACAGAAAGAGGAAAGCCACATTGGTGGCACGAGTCAAACTGAGTCAGAGGTGCGGGACCACATTGGTGGTCGAATCAAGAGAGGAACGTGCATGCACGTGCATAGAGGCGGATGATGCGAGGGACGGGAACGGTCCCGAGGATCCGGTCAACGGAAAGTCGGTAAAGGAGGACGAGCCGGTAGATGGTGAGGGCGAGGATGAGGGGAAAATGATAGGGGGGCCACGTGACCGATGTTACTTGTAACATGCAATAGTCGCATCCCGCCCCACTTGAACAGCCCAGATGGATGATGACACAGTAGATGCGATAGAGCCATTCCATCACAAGCCATCGCAGCTTCCGTAGTTCGTGCACACTTCTTCCTTTGGTATTTGTGTTCGAACAGCTGATAGACAGTAGTTTTTACCAGTGTGGAATTCTGACACATTAGCTGTCGGGCTCAGATCCGGACACGCTGCTCATGTACTACCTGGGCGAGCAGATAACGACCTGCTGAAGTGAAGTGTATACTTTCAAATACTCATCTCTTCGCACCAGGGCGACTGTGATTAACATCGATGAGTTCGTCGTATGTACGCATGCATCTTGTTCAGTGCTTTACTCTAACAGTCATGCTACTCGGGAGGATGGAAACAGATCGTTGCAAGGGCCCTAATACACATCTGATGCATGATTTGCAGTTGTATGGGTGACACTACACTGATCAAAGTATGTATGCCAGGGTCCTAAAATTTCATGATCGGTGTCTCGCTGATACTTTCTCAGGGATGATGGGTGCCTTGCAACTTGAAAACCTGATTATCTTCCACCCTTGGCAGCACTTTGAAGTTGTTCCCACATACTGTCAGACCCTATTATTATGTAGCAAATATATAGTCTGAGAGACCCCCTCCTTCAGAAGGCTTCTCCCTAGTTTTCCAAGGATGTTTAGCCATCCCTCGAGAGCATGTAACCAGAGCCTCGTCACAGAGGGTGAGTGCAACCTCCTGGTAGGTTCCCTGGAGCTGAGCCTCAATATAGCCTTTCCAGATGCTCACTGCCTGCCTCCCCGTGTCAGCATCCATATGTTCTCCGCGATGTCGGTGCCGAGTGTGGTAGTGGATGTGTTCTGGAGCCTCTCGCATCTATATGTTTTCCATACTTCCATATTTTACTTTGAATGTTTTATTTTATTCTTTCTTATTCTTATTGCACACACAAGTCATTCAGACACAACATGCATTGACTGGTACAGCGACAGTTATTAATGACAAGAAAGTCAGATGTGGAGGCTCAAAATTTAGGTACATGGTGATATACAATATATGTGTGACGGAGGAAGTAGGTACAGATACAGCCAAACGCACCAGTCGCAAATGAGGCTCGTGAGCTTGAGAGACAGTGAAGCGTGGATTAGGAATGTAGGCTAGGAGATGCAGAAATATGCAGCAGGTAACACGGGTGAGGTGAACAAGGTGCAAGGTGACATGGTGAGGTGCCAGAAAAGACAATATCATGCACCACCAGAGAGTGGGACATGGCCGCAGCATCATCAGTGGGGAAAGTAGCTCAAAAGACAACATCACGCACATCCTGAGAGCGGGACATAGCTGTGGCACCATCAGCATGGGGAAAGCAGCTCAAAAAGACGACACCATGCACTGTCTGAGAGCAGGACATGGCTGTGGTATTATCAGTGCGGAGAAAGCAGCTTAAAGGACAACATCACACACCCTCTGAGAGTGGGGCATGGCTGTGGGTGGCAAATCATGCGTGGCCTGCATCTGTATCTTGAGAAATTTCGCAGTCTGCAAGGGACTACAGTTGGCATTCTGTAAGTAAAAGTCAGCGGGACAGAAAACAATGTCACTCACATCAAACAGTGCATCGTCCTGATGATTGCAAGTATATACAACGGCGGCCTTCAGCTTGACAGAAGGGTGGACACCACGCACATGTGGGAAGGACATATCTATGGGACATTAGTGCATCTGCATAAATGAGAAGCAAATCACTCACCGAATGGCTCATATCCATGATCGAGTAGCTCATCCCGAGACATTTGAAGTGCTCCAATGACCTCTCCACCTCCTGGCATTTGACCAAGCTCAAAGGGCGCCCTGATCTCCACTGAAAATGCAGGTAAGGGGACTTGAAGATTCTTTCCTGATGACTGTAGATAGAGCTTGAGGATCATGACACTGATATGAAGGTAATGTGGAGGAACTCGCCTTCAGGTCTGATATATCGGTGTTTTGAGCGACGAGGCATTGGAACAAATTGATGATGTTCGAAGACGGGCTCAGTGGTGTGGGCGGAATCAGTGAGAAGGGAGGACATGGGTAAGGACATGGGGACTGTGGATGGAGTTCAGCTGAGAGGGAGGCATCACGGGCTGTTCTGATGGCGATAGTCTGCAAGAAGCATGCTCTATTTGTGGTATATGAGTTAGGGACGGCAACATCGTGACGGCAGTGTATGGTATGATGCCACTTGGTGCGGGAAGTAGTAATGGGTGTGGTTGTCGGAGGCTTGAAGCCAGCGCCAGGGAGCCACTCGGGGACCTTGGCTAGTGCCACTAAAATGGTAAGGCCATCAGAAGCAAATGTCAAAATACTATAGCTTACGGTATGGTGTGGAATCAATCATGAAGACACCGGGAGAGGTGGAACAGGAGAATTTGTTGAGAGCGCGGCCTACGAGGGTCAACAAAGGGATCGTTGTTTTCTTTCACTGCATAGCCATAAGAGATGCGCAGAATGATAGCGCCAGCAATGCCAGCAATGTACAGGACCTTTATACCTGTACCCCATACTGTCAACTCAAGGTCGAAACAGCCAACAGTACGGGTACAATGAACAGCCTTAGGAAGCATAAATAAATGATCAGCTATAGTTATAAATGTGAAAAAATCGTACCTATTGTGCAAGATGCCGGATGCAGACAGTGCACAACACACAGAAATGAGCGAAGATGCTTGTCAGCAATGTACTACATACATAGATAAACGAAAAAGATGCACCTAGATTGCAGACGAGCAGGGACAGTTACTGACGAACTGGGACATATGTCAACCTCCTGGTCTGGTGATTGGAATCCTCCTGTAGTGTTAGCCCACCAGTATGCAGACTAGGTACATACTGTCGAAAATATTGGGGTTCGGGATGCGTCCGAACCAAAGTCGAACTGTTCGCCCAATGCCAGAACCGAGAACCGTATGCCGGTATTATGGTCCCTCTTCTTGATATCCGAGTCATTTAAATATGGTATTTTGTTAGTCGGGTGAAGTCCAACAATGTCAGTTGACGGGGCGCACCTGTAGATTGTATGCTCGAGGGGTTGATAAATTCAGTTTTAAGTTGTTGAGGGAGGCGTGTATATGTAGTAGAGCCCTACGTCGGAGAGGGAGAGTTGAAGGTTGAGCTGGGTATTGATATGATGTAGCGGTTGTTGAAGGAGGAAGACATCAGCTGGCAACCGATAAACAAGATCATGTGAAGTGATGCGATGTACTGCAGTGTGGGTGACGTACCAGTTGTTCGCTTTCCATCAGGGTCCATCTTGGAGATGTGTAGATGTTAGAACCAGGGTAATGAGACAAGCTGAATGATAGTAAGTAAGACTTCAAGTTGGAGAATTTGGAGGTACATAAGGTCATGTGACAAAACACATCGTATCGCTGCATCAACAGAGACGCGTGTGTGCCCAATTCAAGAGCTCGTCTCGCCTCGTGAATCCTCCTCAGTACTGAGTTGTTGAGAATCATCATGTAATGGCATGACAACATGATGCGAATCACCTGTAGAACACTGAATGTGGATCAACTTCAGGTGCCTGGACCTGTGCCTACCGAAGCTATGGCTCTCAAGGGCATCTCACGAGGCTCGTGAGATGCTCTCGAGAGGTTTAAGCAGCCAATCAGGTAATGAATAAAACTCCAACTAAAACATAAAACATCAATTATGGACTGAGTACTGGTGATAACAGCATAGCAGTCCCTACATATAATAAGACCACCATTAAGTACTGTTGTAAGGCAAATGATCCACAATGCTGCACTTTGCACGAAAAGTGCAGTGCAATGGGTCATTTACTTTACATGATTCTACTCAGAAGGTTAGTCACATATGGTTGGACCAAAACTGATCTTATGCTCGCAACTTTACTATCTGCTTCAATTTCTTTGCTGTCCGGCTTTCTGTCGCATACAACAACTGTAGTAGAGACTGTTCACATACTATAATATTTCAGCTACTAGTAGGGATTGGCGCAGGTATAAATCATTGTCAAAGTTAAGTACATGAGTACAACAAGAGTACCGCACAGATATATGACCATACACGGTGACTCAAAACCATCACCTTCTGGCCCGAGCCGACTGAAAGCCGCGGCTTTGAGGTGCTGGAGGCTGCAAAGTTGACGTGGCGGGTGCCAGCAAACACTATGTGGATGAGGGTGACTGAGATGAACCGCTGGGCGCACCAGTTGACCATATACAAAAGGAACATCAACGACCATGAAGGGTGGCGCTGCTGCATGATTGGGCCGCCGGCTGAATGGGTGTCGTAGGCAGGTTTTGAAGGTGGAAGGAGTGGCATTGGAGGATAAAGTAGCGGGCGGTACTGGTGGTAGAGCTGACGTGGTCCCATGAAGCGATGGAAGGCGGAATTGAAAGCAGTGTTGCTGGAAGGAAGGTGGGGCGTGTGCCTACATGATAGCTGACGCACGTAGTAGTCGAGCACTTTGGTGGGTTGGGAAGGGACGAGGTCCAGTCTGCCTGTGCCAAAGAGGAAGAAGACACCTGTTGTGGGTGGATTGGAGTGAAGGGACATCAAACAGCAAAATATCGCACGTCAGAACATAACCAATGCGACGCACGCACGCACCATGCGGATACCTCTTCAAATTCCACTCCAAAATCCTAGCAGCCTTACACACATCCATGCTCTTGAATGTAAATGTCAAAAGTACGAGATTGAAGATAAGTAATGACATATCACAGATCGCATGGCGGATGCCTTCTGTTTCTGTACATCTGCATCCATTCAGACACGAAGATACCAAAAACACAAGCACTTACCTATCGCAACCACACCACACCCATTCCCCCACCCCCCAGCGCGTTTCAACAACTCCAACTCAAACTTCCTATCACCTTTATACCCAAACGGCTCAATCAGCACCAGGAGTTTCCTAGGCATCATACTCAAGAACAATGCCCGTCTTCACATCGAAAAGTCCATTAGTATGGGCGTGACTCCGTCGTCCACGATCATGATGTTCCTGTGATGCAAAGGTAAGAGGCGCAATTACAACAAATCGGAAAATGTTTCTACCCAGGTTTCAAGTTCTGGTGAGTGTATGGAACGTGTTTGCTCTTTCCCTGCACCCCAGTTTGAGCAGGTTGAATTGCGGACACTTCCTCGTCACCGTCAAATATCACATCTCCTTCCCCCTTGACACGATGTTTAGTTCTCAGTGGCATGTTCACAGACTTGTCGTAAGAGTAGCCAAACAAGAGTATATCCCAAACTCGGGTATTCGAGGTGGCACCTGTGACATTGAGGCCAAGCAGCACAGCGGCTTTGAAAGATGCGACATACATGTTGACTTCATCCCACCCACGCTGCATCAGGAACTTGCCAGCTCGGTCGATGCAAGGGAACACAGTGTAAATTATGTGAGCAAGAGCTTGAGCATCTGCCATGTGAGAGATGCAGAATTCGGAGCTGTGTGATGCAAAGGAAATATGGAATCACTGTCAAAGTCTTGCCTGGGGGCTCCATTTGTGTTCTCCCACTTCTCCCATTTTTGGTGGAGACGAATGTCGACGTCCGAATCCTTCAAGTCGAATGTTGCCGATGAGACCGAAGCCGAAGAACGAGATGACGAATGAGTGGTCCGAGTACAAGGGCCAAAAGGCACAGGGACGAGAGTTGTGACGTTGGGGCCAAAATCTTCCAAGTATCAATGTTTCGTTTTAATATATCGTAGAAAAGGACTTACAGTATAAAGTCCAGCGTATCTGCAAACGACCATCTCAGTTCTGATCCAGACACTGAGACGTGAGTTGGTTTAGCTTTACCTTTCGTTTAACAAGTACTGATGTGACCTAGTAGACTTACTCGATAGGTACATCGTCAGTATAAGAATTCTGATCCAGACACTGAGACTAGACTTACTTGATAGATCCTATCTGCGTGCTTCCGCTCTCTAGAACGAATTCATTCATTGTCTTCAAGACCCCATTGCTCTCTGACATCAGCGCGTTTGAGTGCATCTTCCTCGTGGTGGCAGAGAAAGCGGACATGGTTTGAATACAACAACTTGTCTATACTTGACTTACCAAGGTACAGGTGTCCGCGATGAGAAGCTGGAGAGGTCTGCGAGCATCACAGAAGATGTATGCAGTATCCAGAGGGTCAGGGGAGGATTGAGGGAGGCGCTGGAGGAGGATCCAGAACGAAGCAAGGTGTGCTATATTTAGATCCTCCACGAGGCCAGGTCTCTCAGACCCATATAACCCTAACATAATAATGGGGTCTGAGAGACCTGTAATACTCCCGAGAAGTGCTGCCTGAGGTGTTATCTTCTATACTCCCCACTCACCATGCCTGAGGCCTGATGTGCTTGCCAATTCATTTGGGATATACTCGAACCGTCAGTTTCTTTTTTAAAACTGATCACACTTGATATCATTGATCTATCTTAGCGACACGTTACCAGTTATAACATCCGCATGATAAATCATCTGGATATTGTGGGCTTTGTGCTTGGACATGTTGAAACTAGCAGGACATGCTCAGTGTCTGGAAGAACAACTGTATATTAATGTTACCTAGCGGGACATGCTAGAGAATCTATAGTAAGGAACGGCGAGTCAAAGAGACGTATGGAAGAAACGTACCTCAGCATCTGGAAGAACAACTGAGGTACTAGGAAGAGAATGGAACTGCTATATATACTGATACACGTGATATGAGACAAAAAGGAAAAGTGTCCAAGGACAATGACGACAATGATGCGATACAATGATTCCAACACACCCCCACAACAACACGTTGTTGCAAACTAACGTAAAACGAGCGAAAGTCCAGATTGATGACAACGAAAGAGAGGACGGGGTAGACACTTCGTGAAGATATTGGCAACGTTCTTGTGAGTTGAGAGCCACTCGGGTTTGAAGGTTTCAGCCTCGATGTGCGCACGAATGAAATGATACCGAAGATCTATATGCTTGGTGCGGATGTGGTTGGCAGCTTCTTCTGATAGAGCTATGGCTCCAGCATTATCGGCATAGAGGCGAAGAGGGAGAGTGAGCGGGATCTTCAAGCACTCGAAGAGCGAGATGAGCCACAATCCATCCTGAATGGCGGCTGTAAGCGCCATATACTCGGCTTCAGTGGAGGAGAGGGCATATGTGAGTTGCTTTTTGGACGAATGAGAAACGGGGCCTCCATTGAAGAACCATCCATATCCAGATATGGATATACGATCCTCAGGGCAGCTGGCCCAATCTGAATCGCTGAAGCCATGGAGCTCTGAGTTGACTGACACACCCCCATAATGTGTACGAAGGGAGATGGTGGCAGCCAGGAAGCGTAGTATGTGTTTGGCAGCTGCATAGTGGCGTGGTTCTGGGGAGCAGTTGTATTGTGCGAGTTTCATGACAGCAACCGCGATATCGGGGCGCGTGTACATGGCTAGGTACAGTAACTCACCAACGAGTTTGTGAAACTCGGAGGTCAGATTCTCAATATGAGGGTGAACGTCGGTGTCGCGTCCGAATGGGAAGTGAGTGTCCATAGGGAGAGATACTGAATTGCAACCAACTAAGCCATGTTCTTCGAGCAGGTATGAGATATAGTCGGTTTGGTGCATCCAAAGCTCGCAAGATGTATGATCCCGTTCAAATTGAATCCCCAGGTGCTTTGAAACCGGCCCAAGATCAGTAATGCCGAAGTGTTTTGCGATCTGACCCTTTATGCTAACGAGGAAAGGGCGGTTGCTGGCAGCCGCAAGGCCATCGTTGACGTGCCAGGCAATGATGCAAATGATGCGCTCTCCCTCACCATTGACGTGGTCATACACAAAGACGGCGTAATCAGCTTCTATGCGGAGGAAACCGAGGTGCGTAAGACTTCACGCAGAAGCTCGTACCAATTGTAAGCTGCTTGTTTGAGACCATATAGTGAAGAGAGGAGGTGACAGACGAGAGTGCCGATGTCAGGCACGAAACGTTCGAATCCCGGAGGTTGGCGCATGTACACGTCCTCCGTGAGTTTCCCCCAGAGGAAGGCGCGCTTAGCATCAAAAGCATTGAGTTCCCAGTTATTTTTTGCAGCGAGCGCAGAGATGATGCAAATGGAGGTTGCTTTGGCGATGGGCGCAAATGTCTTACCAAAGTTGATCCCTGGCACCTGCAAAAAACCTTGCGCCACAAGGCGAGCTTTGTATACCGATCCACCCTTCAAATCTTCCCTAAACTCAAGCACCCACCGACATCCAATTGCTCTGCGATTATCTGGGAGAGGGACCAGCTCGTAAATGTTCATCTCCGACATCAAGTTCATTTCCCGTTTCATTGCAGCAAGCCAGAAATCCTGATCTGAGCGACGCATAGCTTCATCATAAGAATTCGGAGGGATTTGTCATAACCAGGGGTCTGAGGATTGCAACATGTATCGCTGCGAATGGTGATGTACGCTAGCTCTGTAACGATAAGATTAGCTAACGCTTGAGGAAAGCCCACTGTGTCCATATCTGCGTGAATGGCATCAGCGTCGATGACGTTGTCATCGGCAAGGGGATGAGATGGTGCTGGTAGAAGAGCGGGACGGGGAACGATAGGGATTGGAGGTACGTGCACGTTGTCTTCTTAGATAGATGATCTATAGATAAACACCTACAAAATCAAAAATCTCCACGGTCAGTGATTCAGACAAATACCAATGACTGATAACGTGGTTGTTCATGGGTGGCTGTTTACACTTCCCCAAGCTATGTTCAGACAAAAGTACTTCCTGTGAGGTCAGTAGCAATACCAGTCAATCCAACAGTATGGACGCAATAGAAAATAAAATAAACAGAATGTAGTCAGCCCAACGGTATGGTGATGACAAAAAGAAATTGATTCACTCCAACGGTATGGCAGTGTTTAGAGAACAGAGAAAAGTCAGCCCAACAGTATGGTACTGATAAAAAAAGAAATAGATTGATAAGGGAAACCCTTCCTTCAGTAACAATGCTTCCTGTAATAAATTTACTACAGAAAGTCGTGTGAAATTATAGCAATCACCCCCTCAGCACAAACAGGTAGAATCAAAGGTCAGGACTAATCAGTGATCAGTAGAACTCTTAGTTCACTATTGAACCTGCTGCCAAGGAACTCACGATGAGTATTAAACAGAATCAGGAATGGACGTCCTTGGATTTCAGTACCAAGTCCCCTATTCAACAACTAAAGTCTAGCAGACAAAGAAAACCCTGGCTCAGTATCACTACTCAGATGAGTGAGGTCAAGCGTCACTATCAACTTCTGAAGTCTTCCCACTAAGCCGGTGCTTAGATGGACGTAAAGACAACACAAAGATCTTGAAACAAATTCAGACAATAACACTGAGACGTGAACGAACTGAACAGAAAAAGAGACAAATGAAAAGAAACAAACAAAGAAAGAAACAAAAAAAGAAAGAGAGAAAGAAGAAAGAAAAGAAAAGAAAGAGACTAGAGGTTCACCAGTAGAAAATCAAAGAAAAAGTTTGCTCACTGTTGAGCACAGTGAGCTCAAGATATTTCACAGTTGTTGACGATGAGCTAAAGGTATTGCTAGATGTTGCTTACAATGACCTCTCAGTTAGTTGCTTAACAGCTCTTGTCACTGTTGTTGATACTGATCACACTTCACACTCAAATTTATTTTGTGGGGCTTAAAAGTTCCCTATATGCATCCTTTTATTGGCAAAAAGTGGGGTCTTATATAGATAAATTATGGTGGCTGTGTTACTATTTCCCACGTTCTAAGGGGAATAGGCTTAGTCAGATTGTACCAATACTATTTACTGTAGTCATGTGCTTTATAATTTGTGTCATCAAGCTTTAGTCATCTCAAAAGGTTGCTTTGTCATGATTTGGTTTAGGGTCATAGGTCACCTGACTGTTAGAGTCATATAACTTAGTATCATGTGACAAATATTAAGTAACAGACTGATTATGTTATTTGTTGGGATCTTGTTATGATGTTACTTTATTGACCGTAGAAATGACGCGAGCCATGTATTTAGAGTGTTAAGAAAGTTCCCACAAGGCAAATTATGCAAGAACTATTTTACACTGTTACTTGACATGTGTGGGATTCAGTCTGAGTCATTGTTATTGCTGACTAAGCAGAATTTACTGCAAAATTAAATATACAAGAATATTCAGCCTATCTGAGTCTGTCTGAGAAATGAAAATACTATCTGAACTGCAGTCTGAACCATAAAGTAAAGGAAGATTGTTCATAATGATTTCTAGGGTATCGGGCTCATGAGAGAGCATTAGTCATCCATGCACCGAACCAGTTTGGTGCAGGTCAGCGTGAGGATCGTCCACAGGAGGAATCCCTTGGATGCGGGCAGTCCGTAGGTCTCGCTGTCGTTGAAGACGCGCTGCATCTGCAGCGAGTTGCTCGCGGAACTGTTGTCCCTGCTCAGTTGGATTCCCAATCCTTCCAGAGCGACAAATAGGAGCTACAGGAGGCGCAGGAGGAGCATTTGGAGGTAAAGCAAGGGGTGGAGCAGCCGCTGGATGTGGTGCAGCGTCGTTGTCGTCATTGTCGTCACTGTCGATGATGGGGAAAGGTCGATTGGAGAAGGACTCATCGAAAATAACATCCCTTGAATTGAAGAACGCTCTTGTGACGGCGTCACGACAGCGCCAGGCCTTGACACCCGGCGGATAGCCCAAGAATATAGCCTCCCAGGACCTTGGTCCCATCTTCTCCTGCAACTCAGTAGGAATACGTACGAAGCATCGTGCACCGAATACTCGGAGGTGTGAAATGTCAGGCTTTGCACCGTGCAACATCTCGTAGGGCATCTTGCCAGGTGGGAGGGAGTGTGACTCAGTGCGATTGAAAAGGTAAGCAGCACAAAGAGCAGCTTCCCCCCAGAGGTTGCGAGGGAGACAACCGTGATCTAACATCGCATACATGCGACCTTCAATGGTGCGTGTGACTCTCTCCGCTCTCCCGTTCTGCTGATGCGAGTATGGCGCTGACAGCTGCTTACGATGCCTGTGTCCTCCAGTTCTCTAGTGAATGCTGCATTGAGGAACTCACTGTTACAAGTAACATCGGTCACGTGGCCCCCCTATCATTTTCCCTTCATCCTCGCCCTCACCATCTACCGGCTCGTCCTCCTTTACCGACTTTCCGTTGACCGGATCCTCGGGACCGTTCCCGTCCCTCGCATCACCCGCCTCTATGCATGTGCACGCACGTTCCTCCAGTGATTCGACCACCAATGTGGTCCCGCACCTATGACTCGGTGAAGGTTCAACGATACAGCGAGGCACGAACAATGCTCCTGACTGTATCTATAATTGTTGTAAGGTCGTGCGTTGCCTAGTCTGCTATACTTGAGACGACAAGTGCGTTCGACCCTAAAGGGGAAGCGAGTGCAGCAAGGATCTAGAGGTATGCGCTGAAAGCGCTACTGGTTGGCCAATGCGAAGCGCGGGAAAGCGCAGGTGCGCGCGAGGCGCGAGAATGCGCGAAGCGCAGGAATGCGCGCGCGTGTATGCGGAAACAAGAGAGGGTAAGAGTGAGTTTGCTTAGGTGATGATATGATGTAAGACAAGAGAAGGGAGATGCGAGGTGTAAACAAATAGATTTCTACTATGTTCTGCTAGGTAAATAGTGGGTAGTAACCAGTAAGTCCTCTGTTGTTCTGGTGGGAGAGTAAGTGAGTAAGTAAGTATGTACTGCTGGCGCTTAAGTATGGCGCCTAAGCGCTGTCATGCGGAGCCGAAGCGCTACCGAGTAAGGTATGTAAAGATATATGTAAGTAAGGGTCCATGATAAAAATAAAGATGGAACGATATGCAAATGTGAGAAATGGAAATATATGCACTAGGGAACTTGGTGGACAGTGGATGGATGCTTCTGGATGGCTGGCGCTATAGGGCGCTACAGCGCGGGAAAGCGCGCGCGCATATACATCGTGAAGCGTGGGAAAGGTATGCGCACATGGCGCGCGTTGCGTGGGAAAGCTGCGCCTCATATAGAGATAGCTGCAGGTAGCACACAGAGTGATGCTACAAGTTCATGCCATGTACTCCCCAGTGAAAACTGCCATATTGCACAATGAGAGGCATGAGTCTCTACATCGGTCTGACTCGTGCCACCAATGTGGCTTTCCTCTTTCTGTTTCCCCTGACTGCGGATTCCCGCACGTTGTATTCTTACCGTTGGTCCGTTCCAACGTTTCTCGGTCTCATTCCACATTCGACCACTCACCAGTAATCCGGCTCTGATGCCAGCGCACCTATACCATTCTCGCTTCCCCTTTACCCTTACCTACTGTGCGGTAGCCTTGCCCTTAACCCTCTCCACTTAGTATAAGTAGTCGGTCATACTGTATTAGATTCTCTAACTTGAATCTACTCAATCTTCCCTGGAACATACTTCCCTCTGAAGCCCCCTCAGCTTCAGTCTCTAGTATCTTTTCTTAGTCGCTCATTGCGACTAAGTCTACATCGATCGACCTCATCGTACAGGACAAGATAGTCCTTACCTTGAGCGACCTCGCAGACATCCGTCTACGAAGTCACGTGACATGCGCGTACTGTGATCACTGCTGACTCGTCGTCGCCAGTCTCACTTGCTATACCAGACCCTTCCGGTTACGTCACGAACATTAGCAGACGACGCCCCTCTTAGGGCTCCGCCTAACAGATCTATTTGAGTGCGTAACACTCACCCCCATTATCAGAGCGGAAAACTTTAACCCGCAACCCTGACTGGTTTTCCCACCGAGCATGAACGAGATGCCAAGCGTCTATGGCCTGATCTTTTGTCGCAAGAAGTTGTAAGTTCAGAACATTTGTGTGATGGTCAAGAAAAACGATAAAGTATTGTTTGTTGTGGGGAGTGATGATGTGGATTGGTCCGCAGAGATCAGCATGAATGAGGTCAAGAAACTGAGATGCGCGAGGGGATTCTGATGGAGGATGGGGATGGCGAGGGTGTTTGCCCATAATGCAGGACTCGCACTTCGATAAAGTGTCTCCAGCAGATACTGTTGCCCCGACAGCAAAGAGAGGTAGGCGTCGAGCTGACTCTCCACCTATATGACCAAGCCGAGCATGCCACATGTCTAGGGAAGGTGTGGTGTGAGTGAATGCTGACAGATCAGGTGGTGCGTGCGGGATGTGCGAAGGCGCAGGTGAGCGTTGATCAACGGGGGCAGGGAGAAACTCAAGGTTGACGTAGCATAGATTATTCGCCATGGGTATCGCTCCCAACTCAGTCCCCCGGTAGACCAACTCACAATGTGGAGGAGAGGCGCTGAAGGTACAACAATTCAGATGGTGAGTCTGAACAATGTTGGGTCTTGCAGAACCTAGCTGCTATTCGACCCTAAAGGGTTTCTGGACCAGGCTCAAGGCTCAGAGGAGAGGAAATGTCATAAAAAACTGCTGAAGACTCAGACTCATACTGGTAACTGGTGAAAAGGTAACTTGATTATGTAAGCTACAAAAGTGCAAACATAACACTAAGGTAAAAACCGTATCTGCAAGCCCAGCCAGAAATGAATCCCTACAGCGCGGAAGACGCAATCCCACCCTTTCCCGAGCATCCAACCCACCAAGAGTAAGTTCAACATCGCGGACAGTGCATGTAGGCAGTTCAACAGGCTGTTACAGTAACATGGCATGAGTCCCCTGCCAGCAGACAGCCCTCTGCCACCGCATGGCTATAGACGATACCGGAGTCTCACCAGCTCTATGACGATAGATGACGATAGATGATGATAGACGATAAGCGGCAACTGCCGGCTTAGATAAGGATAAGCGGTCTGGACCGCACGTGACGACACATGACGACATAGGTCTAGAAGACCTATTTATGTTATCAAGATAGAAGGCAAGCCTCGTGCTGCCTCATGTACTGATAGAAGGATGCCTCATGGATCCTATCTACGATAGAAGCCCGCCTCATGGACGCTATCTCTGACTCATGTAGATAAGCAGATTAGAACCCAGCTTTAGGCTGAGCTTAGATATGAAGAGTAGCCTTATATAAGGTCGAAGATTAACAGTAGACGTTCCTTACTTTAATCTTACTAGGTTTACCCTTGAACTCCTTGTCCTGCTAAAGCTACCTGCTCGACATCGACTCGTACCTTCAGTGACGCCTCTCACTGTCTGTAAACCCGCTATCATCTCAGCGTAACCCCTCGTTAACCACCACGAGCTACGTTCGAGTACGCAACCTTTGCTTGTTTGTAAAGGCCGACGACTCTCAGCACTTGGTACCACTGTCGTGGTTGTCGCTGTTTAGATCACCCTAGTCGCACACGACCGTTTGTCGTAACACAGGCGTACACAGTGCTTGGCGCTGCCAATGGACAAAATGGTGACGCAGTTACCCCTCCCAGACGTAGAGAGACTCCCATGATTGGCAGTACATACAGTCACAGCTTCCGAGGTAGAGTAGGACCAAAAGTACGAACGATCGCGAATTAATGTTGTCATAGTTCCCGAGTCCAGAATGGTATTGAACCCCACAGCGACGAGATTGCAAAGAGCTGTGACATTAGCGGACTGTGCGTCAGGGATATCCACAATGGAAGCACTGAGAGATCGGCCAGGAAGGTGTGAGACACAGCCGTCGCATCAGCATAGGCAGCGATGACTGTGGAGGATGGTAGTGGAGGTGGTACAGGAGGAGGGGAAGGCACGATTGCAGCTGCAGCCATGTCTTTGTCCTTCCTCTTATTCTTCATCCATGGCGCCTGTCCTTCCATCCCGCCACCCTTCCCGTAGCAGTGAGCATGATCGTGGTCTCCCTTGTTGCACCCGACAGTGGTGCAGAAAATGCCTTCCGGGTTATGACGATGTTTGCGTAAGCCAGTGATCGTATTGATGTTGCTGGAAGAGGCAGAAGAAGATGAGGTCACAGCGTTGGCATACTCGGAGCCAGGAGCACCTCCGGCGAGAATTCTCTCGTCGATGACGCTTGCTGCTTCTGAGGAGATACGGGATACACAAATGTTGAATGCAGAGGGAGTGATGGGAGGAGGGACGGCAGGTGCTGCTGCAGCTGCAGCAGCACCTGGAGGAGCCGTGACAGCAACAGGAGGAGTCATAGTGGGGAGCGTTGAAGGTTCAATGATACAGCGAGGCACGAACAAAGGTCCTGACTGTATCTATAAATGTTGTAAGGTCGCACGTTGCCTAGTCTGCTATACTTGAGACGACAAGTGCGTTCGACCCTAAAGGGGAAGCGAGTGCAGCAAGGATCTAGAGGTATGCGCTGAAAGCGCTACTGGTTGGCCAATGCGAAGCGCGAGAAAGCGCAGGTGCGCGCAAGGCGCGGGAATGCGCGCGTGTATGGCGCGAAGCGCGGGAAAGCGTGCACGTGTATACAGATACGAGAGAGAGTAAGAGTGAGTTTGCGTAAGTGATGATATGATGTAAGACAAGAGAAGAGAGATGCGAGGTGTAAACAAATAGATTTCTACTATGTTCTGCTAGGTAAATAGTGGGTAGTAACCAGTAAGTCCTCTGTCGTTCTGGTGGGAGAGTAAGTGAGTAAGTAAGTATGTACTGCTGGCGCTTAAGTATGGCGCCTAAGCGCTGTCATGCGGAGCCGAAGCGCTACCGAGTAAGGTATGTAAGGATATATGTAAGTAAGGGTCCATGATAAAAATAAAGATGGAACGATAAGCAAATGTGAGAAATGGAAATATACGCACTAGGGAACTTGGTGGACAGTGGATGGATGCTTCCGGATGGCTGGCGCTATAGGGCGCTCAAGCGCGGGAAAGCACGCGCGCATATACATCGTGAAGTGTGGGAAAGGTACGCGCGTGAGTTGCGCGATGCACGGGAAAGCTGCGCCTCATGTAGGAATAGCTGTGGATAGCATACAGAGTGATGCTACAAGTTCGTGCCATGTACTCCCTAGTGAAAACTGCCATATTGCACAATGAGAGGCATGAGTCTCTACAGCGGTCTCTCAGCTCCTTCGCAGACTTCCACATTCTGGATCCTGGCCTCAATTCAAGGCCCTGCTCACGATTACGCTGTAGAGACTCATGCCTCTCCTTGTGCAATATTGCAGTTTTCACCAAGAAGTATACAGCACGAACTTGTAGCATCACTCTGTATGCTTCCTACAGCTATTCCTACATGAGGCGCAGCTTTCCCGTGCATCGCGCAACTCACGCGCGTACCTTTCCCACACTTCACGATGTATATGCGCGCGTGCTTTCCCGCGCTTGAGCGCCCTATAGCGCCAGCCATCCGGAAGCATCCATCCACTGTCCACCAAGTTCCCTAGTGCGTATATTTCCATTTCTCACATTTGCTTATCGTTCCATCTTTATTTTTATCATGGACCCTTACTTACATATATCCTTACATACCTTACTCGGTAGCGCTTCGGCTCCGCATGACAGCGCTTAGGCGCCATACTTAAGCGCCAGCAGTACATACATACTTACTCACTTACTCTCCCACCAGAACGACAGAGGACTTACTGGTTACTACCCACTATTTACCTAGCAGAACATAGTAGAAATCTATTTGTTTACACCTCGCATCTCTCTTCTCTTGTCTTACATCATATCATCACTTACGCAAACTCACTCTTACTCTCTCTCGTATCTGTATACACGTGCACGCTTTCCCGCGCTTCGCGCCATACACGCGCGCATTCCCGCGCCTTGCGCGCACCTGCGCTTTCTCGCGCTTCGCATTGGCCAACCAGTAGCGCTTTCAGCGCATACCTCTAGATCCTTGCTGCACTCGCTTCCCCTTTAGGGTCGAACGCACTTGTCGTCTCAAGTATAGCAGACTAGGCAACGCGCGACCTTACAACATTTATAGATACAGTCAGGACCTTTGTTCGTGCCTCACAGTATCGTTGAACCTTCACCGCCTCAGCGTCTGTATAGATTGCTCCCATGCGGAGAAGCCGTTCGCGAAGTACTGAGTGCTGCCCAACGTAATTAGATGCATCAGCGGCGTCCTTCATTTGAAGCGCATATAAGCTCTGACGAATGACATGTTGAGATCCCATGTCCGTACGACCAAAATGATCCTCCAACGTTTTCCAGGCGTCGCGAGCTGAGACCTTGTGACTGGTCGAAATGAGCTGTTGAACTGAGATGGAAAGACGTCAAGTAATGATAGACTTCGCTTTGAGATCGTTGATAAGCCATTCGCAAATGGCAGTCGTCTCAGCGGTGTTACACTGACCGTCAGTCAGTGTGTGCGAACTTGGATAGGTCTTCTTAGCGACGGCTCGAGTGAGCCTACGAAGCTAAGGGTGGTTCTCGGCTTGATGGAATGTCAAGGGTTCCTCCGGTTATCTCGGTAAGACAGCGCTCGTCGAGATACAGGGCTAGCAGATACGGCTAAGGCGCGGGGAGCGACTTAGAAGTGCGGTCGAGACAACTAAGCTGGGAGGCTTAGTTGAACAAGTTCCAGGATAGAACCAAGTAGATTAAAGTAAAGTCTAAGTACAATAATCTGTCTACTTATATGTGCTACATGTAAGTGTTCAAGCTCAGTCTGTATCTATAGTATATCTATGGATCTATGTTATCACAGATAACAAGGCATGAGGACGGTCATGGGGATAGATAAGATACATGAGGATTAACCTCTGATCAAGCATGCAGTGCCAAGTGCGACTGCGCAAGTACATGAGGCGCTGATAAGCGCTCCGGATCTTCATGAAGCGACATGTGGTATACATGTGCTGATCTTGGGTGACCATGAGGCGTACAGCCTCCATGGATCAGGTACAAGGCCGTCTAGGCCAGGGGCAGTGTTGCAGCGGTCCAGACCGCTGTCTATCTAGGTGCGGGCAGCGCACCGCCGTGTGGGGAGTCTAGCAGAGCGGGGGCTGGCGTAGGCAGAGCTAGTGCTGCCGCGGTCCGGTCCAGAACCATGGTTCGAACCAGACTTTTGGTCCGGTTCTCCGTGGTTCGGTCCATGGTTCTCGCGCCAGCCAGAACCGGACCAGAAAACGGTTCTCGGTTCTAGATCTTCCCAAACGGTCCAGTTCTGGTTCGACCTTCCCGAACCATTCCGAACCCCGAACCCATTGTCAACTTCAACTTCAACTTCAACTTCAACTACGACAATGTCAGTCTCTATGTCGACGTCAAAGTGTCGTCTTCAGGAGTTGCACTATTGGTTAATTAGGCTACTTTTAGCCTTTTTGAAGGTTAGTACTAATCAATCAACTCTCAAGACTCTGTCCTCAAGGTAGTTATTTGTATATCCGTTTTCATTTTATTTACTGATTGAGTTAACCGTGCCGCCACCACCACCACCACTTGCTGCAACCACTACCCCACTCCAGCAACAACCAGTGTCTAGCCCATGTGCCCAGCACACGCCAGCAAATGCTGGTGTGGCTAAGGCGAATGCGGACGACACTTTGGTGAAGGAGAAAGGAAGACGCCGGGGGAAAGAGAAAGGAGAAGAGGAATGGGAGAAAGAAAGTTGTCGAGGAGACGAACAAGGTGCGCTGCCCACTTCCAACATACCTCAATGACCTCTCACATCTGGCTCGTGATATTCTTGCTATTCCAGGCTCAGCTGTTGCTGTCGAACGCATTTTTTCTGGTGGCCGTGATACTATCTCTCTTTGGCATGCTAGCTGTATCTCGCCCACCGTCTCTCACCCCGCTGTCTCTCACCTGCCGCCTCTCACTCGAGACGCGCAGGTGTTTTCTCCCTGTTCTGTGTATAAAAAAAGGTGACGGCAACATCTGAGAATGGAGGTGCAACTCAAACCGCACGTACCTCTCTCATTGTCCTGAATGTCTTCCTTCGCTGACGACGGAGGTAAAATGATTTCAATTCTAACAAACACTCTCACTGATGCGTGCCTTACAAGGCAGCTTACTTCAAATTGCTTGTCTGGATCAGACGCCGCAGGTTCACATTACCCACTAACATCGACAGTAAGCATTGGTTGTTATTGTGTTTTATTTCATTCTCACTATTTGTATAGATCAAATCAGTTAGCTCTTGGATCAGTGGCTACAGAGGCATAGAGTCATATGTAGCCATGTCATTGGAGTAGCTACTTGATGTGTAAACTAGTCTTTCAATGATTTTTTTTTCACGCTCACCACTGAACATTTTCGGGTTCGGTTCGAGTTTGGACCAGAAAAAAACCGAACCGGACCACAGAGAACCATTCTCTGTGGTCCGGTTCTCGGTTCTCGTCCAGGACCCTCTGAACCGGACCGAACTGGACCACGGCAGCACTAGGCAGAGCGGGGGCTCCTGTAGGTGTTATGGATGCCTGTCACAAGCGGCGGTAGGAAGAAGAGGGTCTGCTGGTATAGGTCTGAATGACGCACTCCCTAGGACATCATCGGGATCTACAGTGTCGGTGACGTGACACCATTGATCCTCAATGCCCAGTGCATAGGTCACCTCACGTTTCCAAGCGAAATATGTATCCAGACCTGTCAGTTCCGGGATGTGATCTAGTTTCCCCATGTCAAAGGATAACAACGACGAAAGATATGATAATGTTGAGTTGTTTGAACAGTGGTGTATGCGTGCAAAGCTCGTGTGGTTTCGTTTCAGAAACCAGGGCTCATAACCTGTTGAAACTAGCGGGACACGCTCAGCGTCTGGAAGAACAACTGTATATTAATGTTACCTAGCGGGACACGCTAGAGAATCTATAGTAAGGAACGGCGAGTCAAAGAGATGTATGGAAAAAATGTACCTCAGCGTCTGGAAGAACAACTGAGGTACTAGGAAGAGAACGGAACTGCTATATATACTGATACACGTGATATGAGACAAAAAGGAAAAGTGTCCAAGGACGATGACGACAATGACGCGATACGACGATTCCAACAGGACAGATGATGTGTGGAAGGGAGAAAAATTTGTGGACTTCCTTATATTGCCTGTCTGGACTGGCCAATCCCCAATGTAGATCGGTGCACGGTCTGGACAGTGTGCTCGGGAGTTGCTAGGTGGGACACTATTAGTACTTCTGGCAGAGCGACTGCGATCAATGTGTGTATCTCCAATATTCAGATTGTCATGGTCACTCTAGCGGTGGCTCAACATCTCTCACAATTGAAGTTCTTTCCATATATATATGACACAATTCACTCCATTCTGAAGTGGTGCACCGCCATCGGTGCACATTTTATCAAACACTTCATTCAAGTGATCATTCAATTGCTTGCCCTAGGACTGTGATCCATGTCTGTACCTCGTTCGGTGCTTTACTCTGATGGTCGTGCTTAGCGAGGGTTCCAACAGAATATCGCAGTCAATGCTTCGTCAGTAGTTTGATACGCTTGAGATCTTCTGACCTGAACCTTCGATTGTCTCATTCTCCACTCGTCACTCAGCGGACCCCATATCCTTGTCATGCTCATTCGCGAGAGAGATGTAGACTAATCGAGCCATGAGTCTACGTGATTCATTCATTTCATTCTCTGTGGCCCATCGCATGGAGGAGATCACATCTGAGCACCGCTGAGTTATCAGCTATCTGGCTTCACGATTCGCAGTGTTTGTATCCAGACAGTGGAGCACCAACGCGCAGAATCAGCTGTTAAGGCACTTTCACTGATCCTCGTTTTATTTTAACATCGGCCATCAAAGACCAGGTTGCCTGCTAGACGTTCCGGATAATTTCACCTTACCACTTGCGGGTGCTTCGTTCCAGTAGTGATACAACGAGAAATAGGTTTGCCTGGACCTTTCAGATATACTTCGAAACACCATATGTTAAATAAATACCACGACGGATCCTCCACCAAATTTCTGTTCCCTGCAGACTACTCGGCAAGCATGTCCCTACACAGTGCTATTAGTCGATACATGTACATGCTCCTGGAAAACAACCAAATTAATGCTGGTTTCTGCGTCAGAGTATGCCACGAATTTGGCGTGGTATTCTCGAACGCTCAGGATGAGGCGTGGTCCCAGCACAAACATCTGCACGACCGATAAAATTTCAAGAACGCCATAGAGTATCAGAGCTCCAATAGAGTTTAAATTCTATAGAACTAATGAGCAGTGGTCACATGCAGATGTTGACGACAGGTCGGCGCACCTCGATTTCTGGAGAAAGATGAGCAAACTGGAGGCAAGAGACACCAACAAAGCTAACATGTGCGGAACTTGAGCAGAAAAATATAACCGCGTTCACATCACAAACTCACCTTGCAAAATAAAGAACGTGAGATTGTATCAGCACTCTGAAACAGTCATTGATAGTCGATCCTGTCGATGGGCCGAGTCGTCGTAGCTCACGGAAGTGTTTCACAGCAACCCAGAGTGAAAGACACAGTGCGAGGACCTCCCAAACAGTGTTGAGCATCCAAACGATCGAAATACGAAGCCGCTCATCCCCTCCATATACATAATCGCACATATATTTGCCAGAGAGTATCGACTCCTCTGGTGTTTGTCCAATGAGCCGTGTTCTTCAAGTCGACAAGTAAAGTTTACCTGCTACAGCATCGTTGAGTCCTATTGCCGCGATTACTGCGCAGGCGATGTTTACAGCCAGGAAGATAATAACAAGGAGCATAAGCATCCCTCTAGATCCCTGATACATGGCATGCAACCGAGCAATCATGATCACTTGCATTGTGTGTCAGTCAGGTCAATATCACAGAGGTAGCAACTCACCGCCCAACATTGCAGTCAAGGCCACATTTGTCCCACTTGCTGCATACTCCATGATAGTGCCTAAAAACTCGCAATTAGTGAACACCCTCGCACTAGAATCAAAGACTTCGACTTACACCTATTGAGTCATTATATTGAGCCAAGTTCAATGGTCGGAATCTCATTCACCCCTACATATGAGCGTATTGATTTGATGGGAATGAGATGGTTGCAGAACACTCACTGCATCTGTCAGCGATACTGATGGCATGGTACCTGTGTCTCGCCGGTCAGAAAAATGGAACACAGCGCATATGAAACATACGCAGAATACTGGCACTAGTTGTCAGAGATGAGCTATTAGCACAGTGCAAAGTCGTTAATATCGACACATACAGAGAAAACGGTATTCCAATATAGCGTATCTAGAACATTTTGGAGTCAGCACAAGTTGCCCGCCACGCTAAAGCACAACATGAGTACGAACAATCAAATACAGCACAGTCATGAGAGACCAGCGTTGTCTCTGTCGCGAATTCATTGCATGCTCTTGTTTTCTTCTGATACAGGACTCTTGTCACTCACCCAGATGAGTTCAATCTAACACACCATTCTTAGCGAGTTGGCTGCTGCTGCGATAACATCGACGTACCTCTTGTCCGAGTGTCAAGACTGGAAATACCATGAGAATATCAGCGATTTTCGAACACTGTCCTGCTCACCCCAATCATATACCACCACGACGCCGGCAGCAACTGCAAAACTGCAAGTCAACGTTGGATCTAGACATCTTGATGCGACAGACCTTCCCAATGGCTGAGAAGAATATCGAAATTGATTGTCGGCCACCGACTGGGATCATTTGAGACTATGGTCATGTTCAAGAGACAGTGGGTGTGAGCGAGTGGGGAAGGTTAGTGGTGTATAACGACAGCGTTCGTGCTGGCAGTTTGTAACTGGGCCTAAGGATTTTGCCGCATCCGTGCCGCACCCTACACAACAAGTGTCTAATCTGTGTATATAATATGTCTACGTCGTCTACCAAGGTCTTAGATATGATTTATGATTAAGAAATACCATAGTACATGTTTTTGTGTAAGAATTATAGTAGTATCACAGTGAATATAGTATTCATGGGTGCGGTAGTGACGCGGTAGGGTGCGGCAATTCGTGAATTGTCAGAGATCTGGCCAGTCTGGGGCCAGCGCTTGGATCTTGATCTCGCAGTTCCAGGAGAATCAGCTGGGTGCTGAGGTGCAGCACCATATGTGAGGGAGGCTGACCGTCGTGGATAACCTTCACGAGGCGTTTCCCCATTGCCGCTGTCAAGATTCCCGGAGAGTCTGTACTTGCTCTGCGATGTTGTGGCTTGACTGCTACTTGATTTGGGGCCGACCTTACGCTATTTCGCATTGAGAGTGAGGATGCACGTGAAAGATCGAGTGGCTGAGCCTGAGGACTGGAGGTTGGGGTTATCTGTCGCTTTACAGACGGACGTTGGGTAACAACCTCCGACTGACTCCGAGATGGGAGGCCTGCAGGAGTTGAATTGTTTGCGTCAAGCTCGCCGTCTGTATACCCACTGTCCCTACCTTTTAGCTCCGCAACTGACTTCTTCTTTTTCCGCCTGACGCTTGTGCGTGGACTTGCAGAAGGGAGTCCGTCAGTCTGCCATCCACTAGATGATGCGAGAGCTGTCGTCTGTGACCGGCACTTGCGCAACTTCGCACCTCTTGAAGGCAGAGGGGGCTTGTGAATTGTCTCAGGCTCAGACTCTGAGCTGTCTTGAGATCTGGAAGCCTTCAGCTTTGCATCTGTTCGCGTAGACCAGCCCTTCTTCCCTTTGTTACTTGTACTCGCATCCGGGGACTCTGTAGCACCACTCCACTCCACCCGAGTTTGATACTTGTGCGAGATCTTGAATAAACCACGCAGAGAGCTGAAGAAACTCATGGATGGTATATGCTCCCGCTGTTTACTGTTACGCTTGGGTGTATGCTCAACAGCGTCTGGAGATCCTTCGTGATGCAGAGAGAAGTGTTTGTATTGACTGAATGGATCGTTCTCGACAACCTCTAAGGGACCCTGAGTCTCCTCCTCTTCACTGCTATCGTCCGCACCGCGAGCGCTGTTAGGGGATGGGAAGTAGGAGTTTGTTACGACAGCAGGCCCCTCCCTGTACTCATTTTCGTCTATCTGAGACTATCTCAGTTATGCGCCTGGATAATGGACGGCGTATCTGTTGTGCACTACTGCTAAGTAGGAGGGGGCGGGTCTCGAGGTCCCAGGTAAAGGGGCCGTCAGAGGGAACGGAGAACGGACACCAGTGGGCATGGTAAGTTCTGAGATGGCGTGTGCAGGAGGAATACTGATTGTCACGTCCTCATGGCCATTGGAGCTAGGATGATCAGAAATTGCGCCTTCTTGGCTAGCTCCACGAGAGGGCCACATCGTGTTGTTGCGAAGCACTTTGAGAAGGTGTGAGGGAGGAAATGTCGGAGGAGTAGGATATTGGGCCCTATGATACATGTTCTTCTCATCTCCCAACACTAGGATGTGGCGCCGCGGTCACGTGGTGTGGCTGCTTGGCTTTTTTGCTCACTGCGGTCACCGCTCAAGATACTATTACTCTTGTTCTCAACGTCAGATGTACAAACTCCTCAACTGCATCGTCTTGGGCGATGATCCCAGCCATATATTTGAGATCAAGATTGAACCAACAGAGAGTGTCAGCGCCCTCAGACAGGCTATCAAGGACGCGAAGAAGCCACATTTTGACCATGTTGCTGCTGACGATCTTGAGCTATGGAGGGTGAGTGATCTGATGCCTACGATTGGATGCTGATGATCTGATACTTTGAAAGGTCGACCTGCCTGCCGACGAGGCGCCCAAAAACCATACACTTGATCCAAAGCAAAGCCTGTCAGCTGTGGCTAAATTGTCCAAATTTTTCTCTGAACAACCCAACGAAGAACACCTGCATATCGTTGTCCAACCGCAGCATACCGGTAAGTTGTTTGTCAGTTTGCCACCCATTCCTTGAAAACTGATCTGCATCGCATCTGGTTATTAGTTCCTGTAGTGCCACGCATTCCACTTGTTGATACACGGTTGGCTTATCTCAAGAAGGCCTCAGGTGCTCCGTCAGCTGGTGCAAAACCGGCCTCATTCGCTGCAACACAGGATAAGGAAGAGTACCTTTGCAATCGTCCTCGCAGGGTCGCGGACTCTCTTCCAGTTACTCTTCTCGACCCTATCTTTGGCGAATTTGTGGATGATTGTCAAAATTATCAACCAACTGACCACGATAACGAATTTGTTTGGAAACTTTCGGAAAATATGTCCTCCTTCCATCCCGATGAGCTCACGCGGATGAATGTATTCAGGCAACTGCTCCGCGGCTACGGTATCATACTCCATTCTTCTGCGATTGGCTCGACAAAATATACGACTGACGGACATCTTTTGTCCGCCGACGGAAATTTTGTGCAGGTGATATTGGAGGGGAAAAATGAGATCGGAGGCCGCGGTGCCGAACCATTCGCGGAGTCAATATTGTACTACCACAAGATTCTAAAAGAGTCGAACGCTGGAGTAGAGAAGTTTCGGTCTGTACTCCCATGCATCCATATCATTGTCTTTGGTTAGTTCATTTCATCAGATTCGTTGCTAAAGCCCTTTATTGACCACAACTAGGGGCATGCATTGGCTTTGCTGGCTCTGTTTTCATCGAAAAAGTCCAATGTGATGTCCTGGCCCCTATCATTCCTCTGTTTTGGCATTCAACGGACCTCCGTATGCAAGAGATGGCAGCTCGAACTTTCGGAGCTCTCAAAATTGCCATCGAGAAACTCGAAAAGCTGTACTCGAGTCCAATTATCCATCTCGAAGCTGAAGATTCTCTAAGACATCCCTATCCTCAGACATATACCTCTTCAAGCGGTCACATTCAGGAATTCTCGTATGACAAGACTCAGATGCTCAGGGATCGACGTATCTTCTTCGGGAAAACCATCAATGACGCAGCTGAGAGCAAGATATGTATCAAGTTCGTCAGACACTATTCCCCTGAGGCCCACAGATTCTGTGCCAACCAGGGGCACGCTCCGGATCTTATCGCCTACGAAACTTTAGCCGGCGGCTGGAAAATGGTGATTATGGATGCGCTTGATATTGATGAGGGTCTCCTCGCGCAACGGCCTGGCTCATATCGACCGCTGAGCGCGATGGCTGTTTCGGAACGCCTGCCACTGAAGGAGGCCATCACGTGTCTTATCGAGGAGCTACACAAATACAACGGCGGCTACGTTCATGGCGACCTTCGGGATACCAATTTCGTTGTGGGAGACGACAATCAATTCATGCTGTTCGATTTCGATTGGGCTGGACCGATCGAGAAGGCCCGTTATCCTATGCATGTTAATCGGACGGATATTCGACGTCCTGAAGGCGTGTGTGATGGGAAGAAGATTGTGGCGAAGCATGACTTGGAAATGCTGAAGTATCTGTTTCCTGAGCAAGATGGTCGGGAGCCGGTTAGGAAGCGCCCTCGTCTTTCTACTGGTGAAGGGTCGTCAATTTGATCCATTTGTGTTGGATGTACAACATTGACCGGTATTCCTTTCTCATCACGGACTCTGTAGTGTACTTCATAATCTCATTGTATCACACTGTTTGCACCTGAGCGATTCTTTCCACAACGCTGAGGTACAGTTCACATTTACTTTGCACGCTGTCTCTCACTTGCATTGTTTCGTCTCTAGACATGTCTCTTAGGTTCTACTTTCTACAATTTGATTCGCTCATAATTCGTTGTACAATACCAGTTTGTTTTGTTTTCATAAAGCTATCTTATATGACACTCCAGATGCCACTTTTAACAAATTGCACGACACAACACTGAGTGCGTGACAACGCTACTTCATCCAATCTTCAGTGCATTCATAGATGACTGAAAATCATACAAGCAGTTTGAGTTGAGATCACATGCTCGAAATAGGTTTAGTAGATCGTACCAAGTGCGTGGTTCGAATGACAGTATTAAGATACAGCAGCGGAGATCGAGTCATGGAACCTTTCGAAACATGTAATGCAGGCCAACCAACTTCGTGCCAGAGTAAGTCCAGGTAGTCCGATTCGCATGCTCGAGATCGGTTAAATCGTATCAAGTTTGTAGTTTGGGGTTGTCTCGAGTCGTCGAGCACCGCAAGCAAAGCGTGACGCACCATAAAGTTAAATGCAAAGCGAGTGAAGCACATGAACTTGAAGCGGAGGAAAATGAGGGGAAATACTAGTATTAGTAGAGGACAGCTTTTATACATACATTGACAACGGAACAATTGTGAGATATCCGACGATCCGATTGCGGGCGGGACTGTATCAGGATGACCGTGTCTCACAACTATCGGGAGGTTTCTGCATTTGCACACCTGTAAACCATCCCCATACCTATCATCTATTTGGTTCTTTGGTTGCACTACTGTAAGCATCACCCTAGCAGTAAGTACATGTCATTAATAGAATACAGCATATCATGGGCTACAGTGTTATGATCGGCCATAATCCAGTTCTATAGTACAAGCGAGCACTAGCTGCAATCACGTCAGTACTCGGACCACGCGCATAACTATCCATGAAAGAAACAATCAAATGCCACGACTTTTTATGTAATTTACCATGGTTTGTCCGATAACAAATCCACAGGGAGCATCTTTGCCCGAAGTTTGGACATTTCTGCTGCCTTGATCGTATACACGTCAAATATTATATTAAAGGTATCGTCGTTCGCGTGTTCCAGGGTAGTCGCTAGCCTACCATAATCTTGAATCGAAGTAAGAACGTCTTCGCTCATTGGGGAGGCGAGGTAGGAAGCGACCGCGAGCTTGATGGACCTTCGAGTGACTTCTTGGCTTTCTGACACAAGATAAAGTGTCTGCAACACAAGCGTCAAGTGAATGATGTAGGCCATGAAGCGCTGAAGCGTCGCGTAGCTGACAAAGAAGTGTTAATATCCTTTCGTACACGAAAAAATAGTGATGCATACGATATCTGGTATATATCATAAGTCCATACGGCGAGTGTGGTACCTGTTGGGATCGGTACTGCGATAGGAACCGCAGGTCCCGCCACGATGCTCGTAATAGTGCCTAACATGGATAACCCAAAAGCTCTATAAACATTCAATGAGATAAAAATGCATCCGTCACGTAGAAGACCAGCCTACCTGGTCTTGGTGGAATCAGCCGTAGGTCCAACTTCTAGCATATCGACCATGTTCACCATCAATCTCCTGAACTCTTGACTGTACAAGTACTATGCACAGATCACGTTAGGGCGATGTGAAGATGACAAATAAGGTAGCCATTACATGATGAGGGTCACAGAAGTTCCATACATTGGCGATGTCAGTGTGAAGCACATATAGACAATCCCACATTGTGCGGTTCTCGAACGTTGGGCATGACGCAAGCGCTTTCCAATATTCTGCAAGACATCAAAATTTAGATTGTGTTCAGTAATCATGAACGCGAAACTGGGACAAACTTTGCTTGCCAACCCTGATACTGCGTAAATCACGAGATAGGAATGAAACAAGGAGGACTCACTCAATCGATGCCTTTATTTTGAGTTCAGGATCCACTCGCTGAGCGATGAAGAGTATCGTCGCGGCCTCGGGCATAAAATGCCGACCGACGCAGTTTTCAGTTATTTGGATTAGGTGGGTTAATGTCTCCTCGTAGTCATCTTCGGCTGCAAGATTACACTTTAGAGGCACGTATGAACCTGTCAGGGTATTGGTACACACTAGATATCGTAGCGCGGGGAATATCAAGCCCTGGAAATTGCCTTAAAGGTCCAATCCAGGTATTCTGCAGCTCGTCTTCTGCGTTCTTCTTAGCGAGTTCCTTGTGGTCATCGTAGCTCAGAGAGCTTCCACCTGGAGTTCGCTTGATGAGCATATCGTATTTAGTAAGAACCAAGATAACGGGAACTTTGACAAATGTAAGCTCCAACGTAGCAAAGATGTATTCATCGATTTACTTACTGTTTTCCAACGTTGTCCATGTGAGGAAATTCTTTGTTCCCGTGTCTAGGAGACATTCCCCTGCAGGGGGTGTCTGCAAACAAAGCCTTCCATTTATTTTGTCAGTCCACCATAACGGAATGGTCGAGATAGAATCCCTACCAAACAGCGTGCAGCTTATCTTTCAAATCAGGCATTGCGCTCCGACGGCGAATGAAATCTTGGACAAGATCGAGGTTGTCTTCTCGCCCTGGTTTAAAACCTTCGCTATGGTGGAGAACAAACCTGGTGTTCTGTGGTGAGAAGGACTCATCGTCGATGCTGGCCTGGCCTGGCCTATCGTGCGCAACGATCTATTGACAGTATGAGTACCTGTGCTCGTTGAAGCGTCGCGTCCAGCCCACCGTTCTTCTCACTCCAAAAACGTGGTTAATTAGTGATGACTTGCCAACGCCAGTCTATTAAAAGCACGTCGTCAACGCTGGCCTGAGATCGGATAAAACCAGATACCATTACCACCAGAATTCGGAACCTTGGGAGCGTCAACCTCAAGAACGTCACCTTATGATCATCCTGACTCACCGAGGACACTTCTGAAATATTCCGGCGGTGGACTGGGGCTCAAGGTTTTTACCGGAAGAGACAGACTGCTCAGCCTGCTAATCTACGACTTAGACAGTTTCGATGCCAAACGTGGATCCTTACTTCAGTTGAAGTATTCTCGGAAAGGTCGAATTTGATTCTGATTTTTCTGTGGATCTTAGTGTATGTTACATCTGTCAGGTTGAGTTCGTGAGCGACTGAGGCGAGAATGCGATTATTGTTTTACTTTGTGTTTGTGTTTGACTTTGACTTGCGTTATACACGCTGAATATGTCATCTGTGTCGAAAGGAATGACTTCGATCCTCATCCCCTGTAAAAACAAGGTTCGGCACTGTAAATGTAAGGACAATGTATCCCCCTGAGAAAGCACACTACGGCAACGGACACAATAGCAGCTCAGGTGAGAGCATGTATCGGGGTCGAGTACTTACATGGGGTCAGAAAACCGAAACGTCTGTCCTGCTCCGCGTTAAAGTTAAATTGGCAAATCCTTGCTGGGCCGTACTTCAGCAGACCTTACTTTCCTTATCGAATTACTGAAATCGACGATGATATCTTTTGAATGTATTCAGCGGGTTTGATGATACTATCTGATGACAAGAATTGAATACCAGAGATGTGGAGAGGGCAGGAAACCGTTGAGGCGTGTAGAGGATTAGCCATGCAGATTTGGTTTAGGGAAGAGTCCACTTGGTCCACTTAGATGCTAGAGTTACTCCAGCAGTACCAGTACGGAGCTCATTGAAAGGCTAAATGCCCAACGCCCAAGCCTATTAATAATAATATTACTAATCCATGTAGGAATATTGCTATCGGTCACAACGCCACTGGTTCGGACAAATCCGCCGAACACAAGCTCCGCTACGGCAGACTCGGCTTGGTGACAGCAAAGATGTGATTTTTGGCTTCGTCACACCTCCAGAAAGTGCGGGATTTGACCAGTCTGCGTGAGGTCTATACAGACAAGTCACAGACTCCATGCCAAAGTCTGGGGGACAGGTCTGCCAGCAACTCTGCCCATACGTGTCCCCCAGACTTTGGGGCGGAGTCTGCGCAGACTTATTAACACAGACCGGCCATTTCCTACATCATCACCGAAATTCCCCAACTCGGATAAGGGCTGATAATGACTGACCAGGATGCACAAGGTCGCAAAAGGTACACCAGGTGTATCAGTGTGCGGAAGGCTGGGGAAACTAGTGATGTTCCGGCCCGGCTTTGGCTCAAAGCCCCTGGCTTTGGCTTGGCCTGAGGGGGCTCGGGCTCACCATATTTCAAGCCAAGGCCATGAGCCAAAGCCAGCCAAAAGCCACGGCTTGAGCCAAACGAAGCCGCGGCTCTTTTGCTATCAGTGCGACATTATATATTGTAGTGCAATAGAACTACGGAACAAGCAACATGGAGCAGACCTAGTCTGTCTCAAAGTCAGATACCTCATCATCAGCTTCGTCATCAGCATCGTCTTCCGCATCATCAAGCATGATATCCCAACTATCCTCGTCATCACCATCATCACCTGCAGTCTTTGAGTCACTCCCAGCTTCCAATTCAGCATCATCAAGCTCCTCTAACTCCATGAGGGATGACGGTCCAGGCTCTCGAAAGAGAAGGTCATGTCATATCGAACACTTGACAATTTGAAGAGCTTTGACAATATCTCCTTTGAGCCTGTTCCGCCGTTTAGTGACAGTGATGCCGCCTTGTGAAAATGCACGCTCGCTGGAGACGGATGATGACATGATAGATAGGTAGTCTCGTGCGAGTGAAGCCCACACTGGATATCTCGGTGCGTTGATCTTAAACAAAATCATTAGCGTGAATATTTTAAGTAGTATAAGGCACACACGTACCCCCCACTCTGTTTTTCCGTCACCGGGGTGAGTATTAGCGGAAGCTTTGAAAGAAGACGACAATGGCGACTCACCGTGTCATTCTGACATACCCTACAGTATGATGGACTAGGAAGCAAGAACCAAAGAGAAGCAAGAAAATGACAAAAATAGAGTCGACAATCAGGTTCCTGCGCAGTACTTACATAATTCTAAGCCGCGGCTTGGGCCGGCGGCTCAGGCTTCGCAGAATTGAAGCCTAGGCCAAAGCCCTTGTCAGGCCGTCACCTGGGCCTGGGCTTGGCCTGGCTCAATCTGGCCCAGCTTTGGCTGGCCTGGGGCTTGAAGCCGGGCCGGAACATCACTAGGGGAAACAACTTATAAGATCTGGTTGAGAAACTCAATTGAAGATAAGACGGCAGAGGTTGGGTAAGTAACTCGTACCTTAGCGCAAATTTTGAGCTTAGAAGCATTGATATGCCAATACTACTTATATGTTCTGATCTGGTGATGAATTCTGATAAGACCATTTCATTTCGGTATTGCATTACATGGTATGAGCAGAAAGTAAAAGTACATCTAAGAGCAGAACATGCACCAAAGCTTCTCTAAGAGCAGACACGCGCCAAAGCTTCTGAAGGAGACTTGGTATGACAACCACAACAAGAGGATGATTAGACAGCAGCTTGAATGCGAACTGCGAATGAGAAGTGGGACGACGACAAGAGCAAAACATGCGACAAGTGGACAGCGGCTTGGATGTTGCAAATGAGACAGACAGACAGACAAGAAAGACACATCCTGAGTGAGAAAAAGCAGTGTCGACAATGAGACGAACCGTACACCAGCACCTGCATCTACCCCTTCTGAATCAGGCTTGCTATCCGCATGGGTTGCGGAGTTATGACTCGAACACACTCTTATAGTCTATGCATCGCCAATGACAACCTCCAGGGCGCCAGTTGCTGTTATCGATGCCAGGACTGGATATTTCCAGTTTCGCTAACCTCTCGGTAACACGAAAATATCATCTGGACTTCCAGCACAAATGAACTGATGTTTGGCTTTACCAGAGGGCCCATCTTCAAATCGCTGCTCACATCAGTCATGACTCATAAATTACACTGACACCAGGAGACCTCACCTTCGAAATTCGAATGCACCCAATGACTACCTTTCCTGTACTTGACTACCGCTCGTGGAGATGCAGCCATGGCTTCCACATTGACGAAGGCAGCTGCCACAAAATTGATTCTGAAACTGGTAACGACTTTGAAGGGTCATGGAGAGCTGATTCAATCCATATCCTACTTTCCTGACAGCCAGCGAATGGTCAGCGGATCTGATGATAAGACCGCTTGGCAATGGGATCTGAAGACACGCACTCAGCCTTCCAGCGCTAACCACAAGAACAATTACGCACATGACATGATGTAAGACCAGCAGAGGTGGCCACCATGTGCGGCTGGGTTGGTGTGTAAATGATACCCGGTATTGTGCGTTGTAAGTTCCTACACAAATGATCAGCTATAGTTATAAATGTGAAAAATTGTACCTATTGTGCAAGACATCAGACGCAGACACGTTGAGATAGGCATAGGCATGCACAAGCACACAGAAATGAGCAAAGATGCTTGTCAGCAATGTACGTACATGGATAAATGAAAACTTAGACACACCTAGATTGTGCTAGTCTAGGATGGTCAACACCCATGTTCGGAAGTTCATTGGCTCCCTTTTCAGGTACCGTGAGCTGTGCAGAGTTCTGCATCAGATAGTTCATTAGATTACCTGCCAAGGGAGAATTCACTTGGGAGGGTTTGGGTTGTCTAGCACTTCGAGTGACAAGATCTTCTCAAAAGACTGTGAGATCAAATAAAGTCAATATATGCGCTATATTTTGGCATGTAATCTGAGAACTCATGATTGTGGATGCTTAGACTACTTGATTTCGCTCTTCCAACTTTGTTATGTGATGGCTTACCCCTCCAAAGTTCCATGTTCTGACTTTCAAGGGCACCAGTGATGACTCCGATGATGTATATATGTAGTGTGCTCACACTTTCCAAGTGAAGTCCCATACAACGAGAAATAATCATAATAGGGGATCAGATGAGTTTGAGTGCGACAGGCCAACATGGTGGTGGTAGGGCTAAGGGTTAAGACGCGACCGCTGATGAGATAATGTTATCAATATTTGGTGTTATTGACGTGATGTTTGGTTCACGTATCAATAACGCACATGATCATCGCATTACTCTCGCACTGCCCAGTGACACAAGTCAACCCTGCAGGAAAAACTGAACATGGCCTTTGAAAACGGTTGCAATCGCGCGAAATATGATGAATTTGGGAGCAACATATTTCACAATAGGAGACTCGCTGTGGAGACTAATATAATATTGCGCATCGATTGTAATCTTGTCGAATGTTGTAGCCACATTTCTCTCAGTTGCGTGTGTAAAACAAAATCGGTTGTATTCCTGTCAATTGTGCTATAACCTAATGATACAAATCCCTCGACTCATGATCAGAAAATGTGATATGCGACCAGAAAACATGATAACAATGTGAAACACGACAGGATCAACACGACGGCAGCAAATACAACGCAGCAACAAGGCTGGCAAGCGAGACCACACCACGAGGCAATGAGGCAGGCAAGAGCAGGCAAGCGAGAGCAGACGACTGAGGCAACGAGGCAGGTGAGAGCAGGCAAGCAATAGGGACGACTAATACATTGAACCGTCAGCGATGTCGCTAGAGGGGATGTACCTTCGACTGTGGCAAAAGGGCCCATAGACTCATCTACTTAGTAAACATGAGTATATGCATTGAAAAATACCTTTTATACTACCTGAATCCACGAAACACTCAGACTCATGGAATCAGTGGAGGAAGGCAGCGGCAGCAAGAAAAGTTGTTGGGAAGATGGTGGTAAGAAGAAAGGAGGGAAATGGAGTTGCCTGGAATTCCCACAACATTCTAACTTTTGGTGTCAGTAGTAAAACTTGAACACAAGACTTCGTGATATTTACAGAATGTTGCGCGAAAAGCAGAGCCCAGCTGCAGAGTAAGCTGTGTGACACCAAACGACGCGTAAATGTAACACTGTGTGCATTGATGAAAACACGATCGACGACAATGTAATGATTTTGTCGTGTGACACATTGGTCAATTGATACGGTAATAACATATCAGGGGAAATCTGAACTTACCAGCGGCACGTCAGACTGATGGCAGCCTTACACGTTTAGGAGGGTGTTGAGGTATGTGTGAGGGAGTGTTGTTGAACCTGCCATCAATCGTCATCACGTCATCAGTCCGTAAAAGATTGTGGCGTGGGAAAGTGTCCGCATAAGGTAATTTCAGACTTGGGGAATTTTGGTGATGATGCCCTCCACTGTGGCTCCATACCTCAAGCCTCCACAAGGGTCTCAATCATTTCTTGACCAATTTCAAAGATTTGAACTTCGCAATAGTGTATTACAAGTGACAATGATATGTGGTCAAGCAGAATATGATTTGAGGTGGAGTTGAGTGAGATATTGTAAAGTGTCCGAACCAGTGGCCGTCTGAAGTTGTGGTAACCGATAGTATGATATGCACAAAAAAATGAAGATGGAAAAGACAAACATACTAAGGGTACAGAAATGCCCGGAGGGTCATTGCAGATGAATGTATCTGTATTTTAGTAAGATGCATTTCAATGACATGTGAACTCTTGTATACAACTCTTTGCAACCGCTTTGGCAAATTTCCGACAGAATGTCCGTGAGGTCATTGTGTTCCATTGGTTGATCATGGATTTCAGCTCGTACTGCAGATGATCCACATGAAACAACGCAGTGTCAATTGCAGCCTGAGCTATACCAAGCTTCGCAAAGTCCGCTTGGCTCGTCTCCCAAAGTTTGACCCAAATTAAGGTCAAATTTACATCGAGATCTAAGAACCACTCCCTCGGGACACTATCATCCGGGTCTGACAAATGCAGCCTCGTCACTGCTACAAGGGCCGGTATTTCATTGATGTAGTCGTACCCTCTGGGAGATTTCACGTACTCCCATGTTTGTGCGATCAATCGCCGCCACCACTCCTGGGAAGGACCGACAGGAAGTTCCTTGCCCGAAGAGTTGATGCGCCCTAAGATCACAACAAGGTAGAATTGGACATCCAAAGAATAACCGGTTCTGGTAGCTAGAGAAATACACTGATTGAGATGACGATCACGGTCCAGATGTTCATACCATTCGTGGTCCTTTGTCAGGGCATAGATGAGGCGGATGTAACAAGAGTCTCGATAAGAGTGGAAGGTGGCGTCGGGTCTAGTGACGTTGATTGTCTGGTTGGTTGAAGATATAACACTCCAAACAGCGCAAGAAAGCGCATTCAGGAGTTGTGCGTCGACACCCCGTGGCATTGAGTCACTGGTTATAGAAGCTAGTTCCTGTCCAGCTTCACAAACAGCTCTAAGCGCGGTAAGCCGGAGTCGGGAAGGTCTGTTATGGTCCATACATCGGTTAAGTAACATGATGTAGCGTCGTGGGTCGGTCCCGAGTCCTGGCATGGCGCTCAGCGCAAGCAAAGCATGACCATATGATTCATCGTATATCTGCTGCTTCTGCTGCTTTTCCTGCTTTTCAAGATACACCACATAATTGATGAGCCAATTAAATTCTTCACAGCTAGGCTCAGCCCTGTTGCTGAACCACCGCAGGTCACCAAGCCAAATCAAGTCTTCATCGTCCGGACGTGAAAGTCGGTCGTCCAGTCCATGGACAACCATTTCTCTCAAAGCAGTGCAGGTATCCGCCTGATACTTCAGTTCATCCTGAGTGGACCTGAATATACCAGAATACTGATCGCTGGCATCACGTCCAGCTATGAATGCATCGTGAATCAAATAACTTCGTATTCCCGGGAATTTATCATTCCAACGAAACACCAGGAATTCCTTGTTGATTTTAACCGACTGGATGCAAAGATGCCCCATGGCTTTGACAAACTTGATATATTGCTCTTCCGTGTACTCGTATGCCTCGACAATACCACGTAAACCTGCGAAAGCTGCTGATGCATCAAGGCCCGGGGGCCATTGCGGCAAGGAGGCTGCCATTGCAGCCGCGATCTTGATAATTTTAGGGTCTGGTGATGTCTCCAGTATCCAGCGAATGGCGGACAAATGGGCGAACATGTCACGAGTTGATCTGAGTTTCTTTGGGAGAATTTTTTGACAGATGACTGCCAATAGTTCTGAGACTGGTGTCCAGAAAGGACTGTTTGGACACAACACCGACACAAGAGTAGTGCCCACAAAGCACAGGATACCGAAAGCTGTGGTGGAGATGATGATGCTAGATATCGTGGTTTGCCGGGTCCACATGTTGGCGCTGAGCGAGAGGCTGAAAAGCAGGAGCGAGATCTGGAGCAGTATCAGGAATGCCCACAAGACGGTCTGCAGGCAAAAATATTCTACTCCATCTAGCTTCATCTGCCTCTCTATGCCGCGCTGTTCGAGAGTCCCTCGTCCTCGAGCTGCCTTGTACGAGTTAAGCCATTGCTTTCCCAAGACGGCCCCGAACGCGGCCAAGATACTAAATGCGAGGCTAGCATAGGCGAGCATTTGCATCCAGACCATCAAAGAGGAATACCCCATAGATGAAGAAAGATCACTGATGTCAACGGAATTTGGGCCGTTAACATTTATCCGGATCAGTTGCAGGAGGAGGTCATTGGTAGTTTCTCCTGGATCAGGCTGCATCCCAACGATGAAGGTGGAGTTAACAGCTGAGAATAGACCAGCCTAATATGCCTGTAAGATTTGCATTGAGAGACGTAGAAAGAAACGCACAAAAGTCAGAATAATGCCCATATCATCATTAGCCCGCCCGAGAAAGTCGTGGTCATACTCAGCCGAAACTTTTTTGTATGCCTCCCAAAACTTTAAGTTGTCATCTTCTCCACACTCTTGTGCAATAGTGGATCCTTTGAGGACATTCAAGATCTGCTCCAGGCTGTTTGCCCTTTGATACCGCACTGTTAGACATAGGTTGTATCCATGGTGAATGGTGACACTCACATATTCTTAACAAGGCTGGCCTCGATGGACACCGCAGGATTCTCCTTCGCAATATTCAGCTTGATCGCATTGTCCGAGGCCTCCTCCGAGGTGTTTGACCTTTGAAACAATTTAATTAGACCCAAGTATACCGTACTGTTTGGTTGATATTTACATATTCTCAGCTATGTCTCCTCGATCCTTGTATGCATTATTCGGCTTGAGTTCATCCCGGATCTGCTCCAGGGTGCTTGTCCTATGAGACAATAGAGTCAGACGTCAATTATACCATGCTAATTGGTCGACATTCACATATTCGTAACAAGGTCGACCTCGATCGTATTCCTGAGTGATCATGGGTGTTATTTATGGGTAACTGAGTCTAGCTCACTACTTACTGGTTGGTCAGGAGGTCGGTACCGACAAGTGTGGGACTGGGTCATGATGGTGCGCTTGCCATGGTTTTGAGAGAGAGGGGGGAGATGGGAAAGTAGGGAGGGAAAAATGGGGAACATATAGTTGGCACCTTGCACAAAAAGCATGTTCTGATCTGACGCTAAAGCCCTGTAGCCGATTGCCCCGGAACACGATGAGTGCAGAATCAAGTCCTGGAGGCAACGTTTTGTCGAGACGCTCATCTTGAGGGATGAGTTTACTTGGTTAAAGACCGTTAGTTAGGTACTTCGGAAGTATATGACTTACTTAGTCGTTCTGCTGGCGTCAACTTTAACACAGAAGCATGGCTGCATATACATGATCGATCGTGTCCTTACTAGTAGTGTTGTGCGGGCTGGGCTTGGGCCTGTGGCCCAGGGCTGGGCCTGGGCTTGAGCGGGTATGGGCTTCCTAACATTTTGGCCCAGCCCTGACATCGGGCTTGGGCTTGGGCTGGGCTGGGCTTGGGCTGAAGCCCGGGCCTGAAATTGTAAAATAAGTGAACATGTCCTACAGTACAGATAGCATTGTGTGACAATGAAACATGGACTCGTAACATCATTCTAGACTCCCAGTCATACCATACTATCTTCACCAGAGTTCTCTGTACACCCATCAAGTAATTCATCCTCCTCATCTGCAGGATCTTCAGCCGATGTCCTTAAAAAGTTGTTTCCGTTGTGCTGATGATCGTTCCTGTTCATTCAGTTTAGTTAGTAGTTATGAATCAATCAAATTATATATACCTTCACAGAGATTGCTCAAATGAGCCCAACTTCGTCTCGATCACGCCCCATAGTACTCGGCACATGCTCTTCGGGGCTTGCAGGGTTATAGTATTTTGATTTCGTATGAGTCTTGATGAGTGCCTGTGTTGCGAGATTGATAACGTGGGCAAGACACCTGGGCAAAGCATCAAACTAATACACCCTAGATTAATTGATGAACTACATACCGGATGCGGCGTCCCTTCGCATCAAATTCCTTCCCCGTCTTCTTCATAATCTGTTCCGAGAATTCATCCATCATTGAGTCGTTATTTGTTGCGTTATCGCAGGTAATGTGTCCAATCTAAACATGATATGAGAACATGAGGACTCTCAACAGAATTAAACCCTACCTTGTGTGAGATGTCGAGTCGATCAACAATCTTGAAAAGGACCTGACCGAGGCATTGTCCGTTATGGGAGTTATTGAGGACTGTAAAGCCGAATAGTGCACTTTCAAGCTCCCATACGCCGGGTGATAGCTCTTCGATCCAGTGGCCAGAGATGGCAAAGTACCCATCAATATTGGAGGCTTGCCACGTGTCGCACGTATTGCTAACCTCGCCTTTCACAGCGTTACTCTGGAAATAGTGATCACAATGTATATATATATTAAATAAAAGCATGAAGCCTACATTCAGCCGTTCACGAAGGTGTTTCATCTGTTTTTGAAACATAGCAATGATCTCGGCCCGCGTTACTTTACGATCTGGAATTTTGACGCCATTTGTGGCCCTCGAGGCCACGTCAACCAATTTATGGAAGTTAGGATGGTCGAGTGCTTGTATTGGCTAATTGCTGTGGCTCAGACAACATGTTCGAAGTATGCATAAGTTAAATGACGGACCTGATCCGTGGCAATGAGCCACTCAGTTGCTGCCTCTCGGAACAGCTTATCGGAGTATGGCAAGATACGTTCAGCTTTCGGACGCTCATGTAGATGGTTGTCGAGACCAGTTTGACTTGCACTGGCCTTTAGCGTGTCATTTCTGCGCTTAGCAACGGCTTTCAGAAGCATTGAATCAAATGAATTTTCGCCCGCCCATTTGTTATATGTAAGCTAGAATGTACATTGAGCAATTTTACACACTCAAATATACTACGCACCTCGTGATCCTTTTCGAGGTGACGGCGACAGGTTGATAAGTCCTTCACAAATCGTTTACGCGGACCTTTTTGGCTAGTATGGGTGGTGGTGTATCAGTAGTGACACGATGCTACCATCAAAGTTGATTCAGACTTACGAGCATAGCTTACAGTCACGGTAAGTGCGAGGCTTTCCATCAATACCATTTTCAGAGTACTTGGCACTGAAAAATTTATCAACATCTTGACCTCTATTCTCGTGCCTTGGCTTGTCATTGCCATTTGAAAGGCTCGCGACGTCGATATCAGCAAGGAAGCCACTGTCATCAACTGCATCTGCATATTTTTTGGTTGCATGAGTGAGTTACAGTAATGAGGTTTGAAATCGCACCTTTGTTTTTCTTCTTTGGTGCCTTTGTAGTGGTAGACAATGAAGGACCGCCAGAGCCAGTGTGTTCCGAGTCTGATTCAGACAAGATGGTAGTACTAGCTGCATTTCGAGACTTCTTCTCTGCACAAAGTGAGGTTGAGTGACATACATGGATAAGTATTTGTAAACCAACATACTCTTTGGCCTTTTCGGAGCCATCGAGCTGTCATTGTCGTCTTCACCACTGGAAGAGTGGTAGCTCAAATCGGCCTCAGATACATCTCGAGATCTTTTGATGCCAGGTGGTAGAACGTGAGAAGTTTCTGCCGCTGCGGGAGGTAGTGGTAGACATTGCTGGTATTGCTCAGATGCACGCTTGGCATCCTCGGCTCGTTTGAAGGCAACAGCTTCAGAGTGTGCACTGATTTCGGGAGTAGCAGTGTTAGACGCATCGGTTAATTTCTTCGAGGGAGCAGGTGCGCGTTTAGAACGCAATGGTGGCTCTTGGTCAGTTTGATTTGTTGCCGGCATATTTCTGACTGCAATGGGTTTGTATGGTCCGAGTCAATGGAAGGTTTCTGCATTTGAAATACGTATATTAACTGTATAGATGCTGTCGCAATACTGTCGGCACGAACCGAGAAAGTAAGTTACAGGCCCGGGCCTGAGCCCTGGGTATGGGCCTGCAGATGTTGTGGGCCCAGCCCATGGCCCTCGTCAGCCCACTCATAGGGCTGGGCTGGGCTGGGCTTCTATAGGGCTGGGCCGTGTGGGCCTGCGGGCCTGAGCCCTGGCCCTGCACATCACTACTTACTAGCGGTGCTAGCTGTGACAGTGATAGTTTATTAGTAAGCGTCACGATGTGACTTTAATGTCTCCGACATAGTGCGGGGATAGCGGCTTGATAAACGTCTGGTTCAAACTCTCACTGGTAGGTGTAGCATGCCATACCAAACTGTCAAATACCATGCAGAAATTTGGCAAACTGAAGGAGCCTAGGTAATACTGTCAGTAATTATCCTCCAAGTTCACATGGTTAGCTAGCTTCATGAAGTAATATTAATCATGACGCCATATTATCCAGTCCACGACCGTATGAATATATATCCGAATCTCCGAGTCCTAAACCCAAGTTGCAGCTAGACTCGTGGTCTAAGTTGCAGCGTTCCCAGTTCAGATTACCCATCACTCCTATCTACAGACGGAGTCTTGCTGTCACAAAAGTACTTGTAGATCTGATATGGAACAAGAACGAGGTGGTGGCCATGTTCTGGACGCCTTCAGGTAGAAATTAAATGTAGAATTGAGGGTGATAGCCACATCTTTTAGGGTGTCCTTCAGGGTGCTCACATTGTTACCTGTCGGATCCAGCTGACAACCTTGCCGTACTGACGCTCTCCCGAAAAGCAAAGCTACCATTAGCAACAATGACATCCTATACTCTTTGGAGATGAGTGTGACAAATGAAGAGGCTCAGGCTAGGAACAGGAAAGGGATTGGGTAGGGTAACAGTCAGGAAAATGTACGTCGAACTGTGAATAAGAGATAACAACTCAGTCTTGGATCAAAAGACTGAGGGAGATTATTTGACGGGGAGAGGAATTAATACACTGATTGAGACGGAGAATCAAAAGCAAACGTGTACGAGGCGTGTAATGAGTAGTGATTGCGTATGTGAAAGAGAAAGATGAGTACGTACGAAAATGATGTCGAGAGAATAATGAGTAGTTCATGAGTTGTCAACACTTTGACTGGAGTCTGCAGCGTCATATGGCAAGAGGAGATACTAACCCAGATGGGGGGATGCATCGGGGATGAATCCATCAATATTATGGCCGTCGAAGGAACTCTTCTCTTGATTACCATCTTGCACCAACTTGCGCCCAGATAAAATCTTAGCCCCGCTGAGCTGAGCGCTTCAGGTTTTTTGGATGGGCATTGCACTGCAACCGTAACACTACACCAGCTGATTAATGGAACAAGGTGAGGACTGTCGGAAAAGCTTTTGGACTCTGGAAGCTTCTCGTCGGTCCTAGTTGAAGGTAGTTAGGTTGACCTTCGAACTGGAAAGAAGGTTTTGATGTGACAGTGATTGATCATGTGCGTGACAAGTATGACGGTGTTGAAAGTGCGGACAATGACTAACTATAGGCCGATATCTCTAAAACCAACGCGGGCATAGCTAGATAAATGTCTTGTTCAAGCACCCACTGGTAGGGTGTGGGATGCTGTACAAAGCTGCCAAATACCACGCAGAAATGTGGGGCACTGGACGAGCTATACGTGCAAAGAGCCCAGGTACCAGTAGTAAGCCTTACTAAGGCTACGCTCAGCAGCGTGCAGGCCTCAGCGGCTAGGATACTAGGGTGACTAAGTCTTCATGGTGTAATCATGACGCCATTCATACAGTTCACGACCATAAATATCAGGGAGTTGGGTGTGACCCAACTCACCAACTTAGAGCTCAACCATCATGTCCACATCCGAGAAGACGCACATTTTCATAACAGGTGTTACTGGTGAGTCCTCCTCGACTATAACTTAACTAGACCCTGACCGTCAAATGCAGGTTACATTGGCGGATCTGTTTTGTCCGCATTGTTGTCCCACCCTAGGGCGAAATCATTTCAGATAACTGTTCTCACTCGCTCCCCCGAAAAGGTCGTGCCGCTCAATAGCCTTGGAGTCGTAGCTATCGTCGGCTCGAACCAAGATCTTGACAAGCTGACAGAATATGCCAGGAACTCTGACGTGGTCTTTGCCTGTGTCCGTTTCGAGTCTAAACTGCCGAGTTGAACATATAGCTAATTACCCCTATATAGGCTGACTCCGATGACCTTCAGGCAGCCAAAGCAATCCTGTTAGGATTGAAAAAGAGATACGACGAAACTGGCAAGGTCCCTATTCTCATCCACACCGTGTGTATTTTCCTTGCCCTTCACCCGCAATGCATGTTAAACTTCGTCAGTCTGGAACCGGTGTTCTTGCAGACAATGCCGCAGGAGATTATGCTACTAATAAAGTCTATTCGGATCTTGACATCCCGTTGATCGAGACACTACCAAAGACGCAACCTCATCGTGAAGTTGACATCGAAGTCGTCGCTGCTGATGAAAAAGGTAATATCAATCCTTACCTTACTTGCTTATGTTTTATAAATGAATGCACGATACAGGTTACGTGCGGACATATATCGTTTTGCCTTCGACGATCTATGGAATCGCGAATACATCATTGGTCAAACTCGGCATTCAGAATCCGTACTCTATACAAATCCCTAGTCTCGTCAAAGCCAGCATTGACAGAAAACAGGGCGGAGTCGTCGGAAAAGGGTTGAATCTATGGCCTAACGTCCACATCAGTGACATAGCGACTTTGTACATCACCATTTTCGATGCTGCCATCAGAGGGCCAGGTGAAGCAGGTCATGGCCGTGAGGGTTTCTATTTTGGCGAAAATGGAGAGCATCGTGTGGGCAGGATCTCTGAAGTCCTCGCGGAGTTGTTGTTTGAGGCAAAGATGGGCAAAAGTCCTGAGCCTACGGTTTTCACAGAGGATGAGTTGCAGAAGTATTTCGGGGTATGTCTTCGGTCTCCTTTGTCTATGGATCACTGATAAACCAACAATTTGTAGGGCCCAGGGCTTGGATCGAACTCCCGTGCTCGGGCAGACCGATCTAAATCGATTGGCTGGAAGCCAGTACACACTGTCGATAGCCTTTGGGCGAGTCTCAAGCCAGAGATCGAGGCGATCGCAGAGATCCAAAACCACTAAGTTGCGAATCACAGAAATTCAGGCCTCAGGATTTGTATGGACGCAATTCTTACCACCAAGTAATAAGTCGTGTCCCTTGTACTTGTATAAATCTTTGTATGAATACGTGTTCAGGAATCACCGGATGACGTTGCAAATTATTCAGCTTGGTACGCGGAAGCAACAGATCAGTGTTTAGGCAACCACTCAACCTACATTCGAATGAATGCTAAAACAAGACGTAAGTATTTGCTTTGCGAGAACGTAGGTCGGCCATGACATGGCATGCGGTACTGATTCGTTGTTGGAAGTACCCACCCACCAATATTATTATTTACCGGAGCCAACACGCAAAATCAGTCAACAGATCTCCAACTCTAAATACTCGTCCATGATAAATGAATGATGATTTAGATATATAATACAACTGCAGCTACAAGGCTGCGCCAATCATGCAATAAGAGAGCGAATTACGCGCTGGTTATATCCTATCCATCATGCTTAAGCGGTAGCATTGTTAAAGATGAGCAAGTTCACTGTCTTCGGGGGCAGATCAGTAAGCATGTTCGATGATGCGAGCTTGCGAAGAGCTGTCTTGAGCTCCAAAGGGGAGATCAAGACTGGACCGCCAGGGATGGGCGCGTTGACAAACAACTGCGGTGATGGCATGAAGTCGGTCATCCAGCGCGGGAGGGCGGCATGGCATAGAGAGTAGAATGAGGAATAAGGGTGCTCGAGGTTGAGTGCAGGAGGTAAGATCGAGCTCAATGCAGGGTCGAAGGTGGCAGAGGGGTAAATCGACAAAAGGTATGCAAGCAGGCCAGCAGTGTGGGGAGAAGCCATCGAAGTACCAGAGAGGGTAGCAATAGCATCTCTGCTACCAATGTACGTGGATAGGATATTAAGACCTGTGCAATGTGTTCACAAGAAGCTGATCGCTCAATACATAGAGACACATACCAGGAGCGAAGATATCCACACACTCGCCGTGGTTGGAGAAGTATGCACGTTCATCGCCAAGCGTGGAAGCACCGACTGTGACGGCATTCTCGGCTGCTGCGGGTGAGTACTTGCAAGCGTCCTTGTTGTCGTTACCTGAGACTATGGTCAGACATGGTCTTAACAACTAACTCGGGTAATATACCGGCAGCAACGGCGAAATGAAGGCCAGCGTCAACAGCACGGTTGACAGCAAGGTCAAGAGAAGGAGACTTTCCACCACCAAGACTCATGTTTGCGACAGAACCTTTGTGCTTGGTCTTACCAGTGGCGGCAAATTCAGCGCGAGCAGCTGCGAACTTCTTTGCAGCTGACTGAGCTGCCCATGCAACTCCCGCGACAACATCGCTCATAGTGCCACTGCCATTGGAACCCAGCACCTTGACAGCGATGACGTTTGCCTTCTTGGCCACACCATACTTGCGGGAAGCAATGGTTCCAGCACAATGCGTACCATGGCCATTGCCGTCTTCATCAACATCATTGGTCGGAATGGTCTTGCCCCAGGAAGCACGACCCTCGAATTCGGAGTGAGCGACATTGATACCGGTGTCAACAACATAGACGTCGACACCGTCACCACCTTCCGAGTCATAGAGATACTTCGTGAAAGTGCTGAAGCCGAGTTTGTTACGGTGGCTGATACGGGCCAGACCCTTACATGTGGAGTCAATTTCACTGAAAGTTATGGGATTCAGCAGAAGAACTTACCCAAGGCGAGCCCTTCTGGGTACTGATATCCATGGTATGGACAATTTGGTCCTTCTCTACGAAGGAGACCTCAGGCATCCGCCGTACCTGTTCGATGACGTTCTCAGTGAACTCTCCACCGTAACCTTTGATGTGTCCGTCGTAAAAGTGACGGACGCCCTCCGCAAGCCCGTCACCAAGGAGGGAGTCAGAGGCATGAGCCATCTGGAGGAAGTTGTAGTGGTTCTGTACGACAGCCTGAGGAAGGTCATCACGAAGAACGACGATATACGAGTTGTTAACAGTTCCATATGGATGGTCAGAGGCAATTAACGGCGCAACCTTGAGTTGCGGCCGACTGGGAATGTTGTAAGGATTGGTAGAAAGTGGGGTTGCAAGCACCGCTGGGGCCAACGCCGCCGCTACTAATGACCAAGTTGCCAGACGATAAGACATGACGGGCGGAATGAGAACAGTTGTGAGGATGACGACCACCTACTTAAACAGTTGCGTGTCTCTATTTGGCAATGTTTGCATTGTGGCATAGCAGTGAGTCAGTTCTAGCTCTTTTTGGACAGGGCCAAGGCTCGACGAGTTCCGTGCGCCTTGCGGCCGCAACCAGTTAACCTCTCACTCTTATCTACTTCGAATTTCAAAGCTTCTGTGAAAGGCGAACTGCGTGCACGGATGCCCATACCTATTTATCTACGTTTCGTTAACGATACCTGATTGAAGTGGGTCTCCTTTGCTATCAATTCGGTCGGACGGTCCAGTTTGTTCGGCCAGTGTTCTGATACCGTTGGACCGGACATTGTTTTTGGAATTTTGGCGTGAGATACTTTTTTGTTTTTGGCTCGCCCAGGGTTGGCCTCTGAGAATTACATAAAACAAATAATTGCGGGGTGAAATTTGAAAATGATTCATCACTCACTGAAGAGTACGAGCTCTAACGCAACACTTAGCCTACCGGACTCTGCAAATACTGCGACGTTGACCAAATTCAAGCTGTGATTCTACATGGTATATATCCAGGTCGGGTGTAGGGTAAATGTCCAATGCAGGCGTGAATAACAAGACAATACATATATACGGCATAAAGTATGGCACGATATTTGCTCAAGATGTCATCGGTGTCATCACCTACCGCCATTGACGACATCTTGCAAGATGGGCCGGCCCTTGAGGATCCCCTCTTCAACTTTCGGAGTTTTTAATTTCTTCGAGAGCGGTTCATTGACACTAGCCACTGATTCATTCTCCTTGCTTCGCTTCGCAGGACTGCGAATACCACACCGTTCGCTCTGTAACGCCGGGTGCTTGACATCCGCATTGGGAGGCAGCGTCAACATCCAGCCCCGCTCGTCCATAAGCCTCAAGAATACCGACAAAAGCTCAGTCGAGTTCAAGGTCTTTCGGGAACCAATAATGATCAACTTTGATCGCGCACGTGTGAACGATACGTTGACTCGCCGCCAGTCCTTGAGCAAGTCTCCAATCTGCGCAAGGAGCGTTAGCGCGTGCTGCAATTGTATAGCTGCAACCGATAGAACATACCTGCCCCTGGTCGTTAGATCGGACCATGGAGATGATAATACAGTCCTTATCACGTCCTTGACTTCTGTCGGCTGTGAGGATCTCTATATCCTTCCTGTCTTGAAGAATGTGTGACAGAAGCTTTATCTGCTGGCGATAAAGAGACATAATTCCAATCTGGTCCTCCTGGACTCCCGATCTTAAGAACGCTTCAGTAATCTGGTACACAAGGTTGGCCTCGACATCATTTTGGACGAGGTCCCCAACTCTTGAATCACGCGCAGGCAAGCGGTCTGTGTCAACAAATACAACTTTAGAGCTAGTGGGAAATATGATAAGTCAACTTGCCGCACCACATGGTACTAACCGACCTTTCTGATAATAGATGCCGCAACCAGCAAGAATCCTCGCACAGGCATACTCCCAGATCCAGTGTACCAGTCATACACCCTTTAGGAAGAACGAGTGTGCTCTTGGCCACTTCCTCTGATCCACATCGCAGACGATCTCCGTATATGAGCTTGTTCGACAACTCCATAATGTCCTCGTTCATGCGATATTGATATGTTAGATCGATCACCGCATGTGGGTGCGCTTCAGAGAGACGGCGGAACAGAGACGTTTCCAGACCTCCTTTTCGTGCAGCAGGATTGCGAACCTGGACATACATAAAGGAGAGACCATGATGTATGACAAAAGAAACTCACTAGTGGGGGAAGCTGAAAATGATCTCCAACCAAAATGAATTTCTCGGCAAACCGAAGGGGACCCAGACATGTGGGCAGGGTAATCTGAGAAGCTTCGTCGACGATGCAAAAATCGAATGTCCTGCGAGAAAAGAGGGCACTGGTAGGAGATGAGAAATGAGCACAAGCAAAGACATCAACAAACAAACGTACTGATCAATTGTCAAGCATGTGGTAGCAACAACTGGTGGTGCAATGATCTGGTTCTCTAATTCCTCGACCGTTGTAGGCAACCTACGCTCAGCAAGCGTAAATCTCCGAGCGCCAGGATGCACCTAAACATCAAGTATGAGCCAGTCTATGAAGTGGTTTCGCTGAGACATACCTTATCTACATTGCCAATTCTTAATATGCCGAAGTCTGCATCCTGTAGCTTAAGCAATATCGTATCCACAGCCGAGTGAGTGTATGACGTCAAAAGGACTGTCTTCCCCATGGCCACGATAGTCCGGATTAGCGCAGTAATTATGGTTGTTTTGCCCGTACCAGGCATACCGAGGATGAGCGCGTAATCGCGTGCGCTCAAGGCCCGTTTCATCGCAGCAAGTTGACCAGGGTTCATACCTGAGCTTGTGCGGACATACTCCGGAATATGTTGCAGGTCGTCAGCGATAGTCTCCTCGTTATCGAATAAAGGGCGCCGTAGGTCCACGACAAGCTCCAGACGCCTGACATCCCCCTCCACATAGAATAGTTGGGCTAAATTATCCCTAATCCGCGCCATGCCGCCTGACATCTCGTCCTTGTCAACTCGGAAGAGTACAGCTATCCTCGCTCCTCGAAGCATCTCCAATCTGGTTTGTATCTTGTCCACACTCAACTCGTGATCTACACCCACGACCACGGTTTCTGGCGTGAGCTCCAGAATGAACCCTCGTGCAAGAGCAAGAAGATCAGGTTCAACGGAAATTGTGATAGCATCTCCACGGCTCATGTGGCCATTCAAGAACGAAGCGCCACGAACAGCAGAAGCTCGGACGAAGCAATAAGTGTACTGGTGAATCTTGCCATTGTTGGGAACCTTTCCCGGCTGGAAAGATGCGTCTATGACCATCGAGTTGAAACATCTGCCTTTGTCCTCGCGTTCTTGAGCGGTCATGCACCATAACTCCTTTCTGAACCGAGTGGCGTCCTGTTCCTCGAGCGAAATGAGCTCCTCCCATTGTTTAAAAAACGTAA